GTTTGAGTAGACCTGAGTCTCTGGAACACCAGATGACTCGTAATAGAGTCTCAGGTACTGGAGACCCTCTCATTTGGCGCCAAGGCATTGCCTGCTTCCTGCCCTCTGTCTGCAGACACACGGCCTGAACATACTGCACCCCCTGTACACCCTCCGTTCGGACTGATTGGACAGTGACTTGATATGGCCTTAGCTGATTGGATAATCTATGTATATAGGCTAGTGAACATACACATTCAACCAGATCTGCACCTCGATGTTGGTCCCTGAGTCTCCTTTCGGGGAAACTCATCGTGACTCTGCCTCCCTTCCCCTCCCCCAAGAGCTGCTAGTGAAAGGGAGCAAACCCCCACACAGTCTGGAACTTTGACTGGGTGTGGCAAAGGCATGAAGAAATGACAGATGTCCAGATACACGTACAGAAAAGCTGGGTCAGGTGGGTGTGCAGGCTGTGATGGAGCTGAACCTACCACTGTGCAACCTGCAACCTCAGTGTGTTTAGTCTACACAGCATGGTGGGAGGGGCTGCTTAGCCTGGGTAGGAGGGCTCTGTGGGTGACCTGTAAACATCCAGGAGGAAGCCGAGGTTGTTAGTCTTTGCACACACTACTCACTAGCTCACACTCAGACTCCTGAGGAAGGCTTTGCCATCCCTCCGAGCTTCCTCTAGGGAAGGCTTTGCCACTCCTGTGGGGCTGAGACGTGGTGGTGCTCAACTTGTGGGACGAAGATGTCCGGAATCCGTAGAATTGCAAGAATCGGCGAGATTGCCCTGCATGACTTCCAGTTGGATGGTTGGGTTCTGGTCAGAGTCTTCAGGTGGCACCGGAGAGTGACCTTCGCTAGAAGTACCAGCTGCTGCCCCACGTTCACAGGCCTTTAGTCGGTAAAAGGAAACTGAATTAGTGCAGGATTGACATTCTCAGGGTCAGAGAAAGAGGGGAACTCGTCTGACCTTCCCAGTAATCCTGGCCTCTGTTTTGGGTCAACTTCCATCCTGTGACTTTGAACCGATTGACAGTGATGTTATGATAGAATCATAGGTCTTAAACAACTATGTGGGGTTTGTGATACCGAAGAAAAGTATTTCTTTTGAGATTTTCTCAATTTCATTTTATGTGTATTGGTATTTAGCTCGCGTGTATGTATGTGAGCCAGTGGCCACAGAGGTCAGATATCATCAGATCCCCTGGAACTGGAGCTACAGATGGTTTGTAAGTCATCGTGGGAGTGCTAGGTCCCACGCAGGTCCTCAGGTAGAGCAGCATGTGCTCTTAACCACTGAGTCATCTTTCCAGTCCCAGTGCAATCTTAAGAAGCACGTTCATTTGTTCTTCTTCGGGAGCTCCCCCTACAGGTCATCAAAGTGTTGCAGGGATACCTGAGTGGCAGAATCCATTTCTTGGCTCAGATGGCTTGGGTCAGAGAATGGGGCCCTGGAAGCTCCCTGGCCACTTAAGTCATTCCGTGTCAGTGGCTCCCAGGTGTGCTGAAGGACAAGAGGACAGCAGAAGGGCCGTCACAATTCTACTGCGGTGGAGGGACAGCTTCTAGAGCTTGAAAGGGGGAGACACAGACATATGGTGCCAACCTGGCCTTGGCTGGGTCCTTTTTACACCTGCACTTAAGCCTGATGCTTGAGCCTGCAAAGCTAAATTTATGGGGATGGATATTCTTGAACAGAAGCTGTGCCCTCAAAGCCCAGTCCAGTCCTCACAAGCGGGAAGGGTAGGGGCTCCCGAGCTCATGTAAATTCACAGCATTTGAGTTAAACTCCGCTTTCATTTTATTTATCTATAGCTTTGGGGCCCAATCTCTGTGTTCACTGCCTGTGCAGGTTCCCTGGACCCTCTGCTGGTTTGCAGATGTTTCCGTCTGAGATGGGCTTATGACTGTATTGAACACACTGAGAAATCGGCTCTGGCAGCAGCCTCATGCTCCCACCTGGCTACTTAAAAGGGCAGGCTTGCCGGGCCTGGAGAGATGGCTCAGATGTCAAGAGCTCTTCCTGCTCTTCCAGAGCACTGGAGTGGTTCATAACTGCCTGTGACTCCAGACCAGGGGCTCTGACGCCCTCTTCTGGATTTCAAAGGGCCCCTGCACTCACATGGGCACCCCTCCCCACATACAAATGATTAAAAACAAAGTGAATCCCAGCACTCGGGAGGCAGAGCCAGGCGGATCTCTGTGAGTTCGAGGCCAGCCTGGGCTACCGAGTGAGTTCCAGGAGAGGCACAAAGCTACACAGAGAAACCCTGTCTCGAAAAACCAAAAAAAAAAACAAAACAAAAAAAACAAAGTGAATCTTGAGGCCGGAGAGATGGTGCAGCGGTTAGGAGCAGTTGTTGCTTTTGCATAGGACACGGGTTCAGTTCCCAGCACCCACTTGGCAGCTCACAACCACCTGTAACCGTGCTGCCCTCTTCTGGCCTCCTTGGGCGTTGCACACACTGCACAGACACACACACACACACACACACACACACACACACACACACACACACACACACATAAAATAAAGATAAAGGAATCTTTAAGAAAAATAAATACATCTAAAAAAACCAAACCAGCTGGGCAGTGATGGCACATGCCTTTAATCCCAGCACTCAGGAGGCAAAGGCAGGTGGGTCTCTGAGTTCCAGGCCAGGCTGGTCTACAAGGTGAGTTCCAAGACAGCCAAGTCAGCCAGGGCTACACAGAGAAACCCTGTCACGAGAAACCCAAACAATAAAAAGAGCAGGACACTACATTACTCCTATCCGGTCAGCCTTAGCCTTCTTTGTTCAGGGAGCCACTGCTTTTGTTTGGCTGGACGCCCCCTCTGACTGTGACCTCTTTACAGTTTCCCCCAGGTCTCACTCTCATCTGGGTTACTTTGAGTTCCAGGGAAGACAGGACTGATTTATGACAAGGGAGGACATGCCTCCACTCCACCCCCAGGATGAGATCACCCAACAGCACCTCCTTGATGGGAACTGACCCTGGAGCAGGAGTGAGTACCCGTCATCTTACGGGAACTGGAGTGCTCCACCCAAGTGATGATGACTTCTCAGAGCTGAGGTGACAGATGAGATCCCAGGCCTGACTAGATTGCCTCCGTTGTCATCTATACAAACCCCACTCCTCTTTGTTTCCTTTTTCAATAAAAACCAGAAGTTCCTGCTAGCCCCCTGAAGACCAGCTTGGGGAGGCGGGTGTCACCGAACCCCTTTATCTGTTTTTCCCAACGTGATCATGAGTAACAGTTAAAGGGACATGAAGAAGGTTAGAAGCCTATCACTTCCCAGCTCTGGTTTAAGTCTCTCGCTGGCTAAGTCAAGCATTTCGACACAGCTCACCAAACTGTTTGCAAAGGACTCTCACAAACAAGATTATGCACCAGGCTTACAGTGCTGGGATTAAAGCTGTGTGCCACCACAACCAGCACAAAGGTTTGTTTGTTTTTAATTCTTTTACACTTATGTGTCTATTTTGTATGTGTCTATGTAATTTCATGTGTGCACATGTGGATGCCAGAGGTCAATGTCAAGGGTCTCTCTCAATTGCTCTGTACCTTTTTAAAGTTATTTTGTTTGTATGTGTTTGTCTGTACGGCATGCATGCATTGCACATGCTCCAACATGATCAGAACTTACTGACATGCTAAGCGAACTAAGCCAGACGTAAAGAGACAAACACTGCACGACTCTCCTTCTTCATAGCATCTGGGATCAAATTCAGACAGTTAAGGTTATCAGAGGCTGAGGGAAACCAGGGTGAAGGGGAACACAGTGTTTAATGGAGCAGACTTTTGGAATGATGATAAAATCCTAGCATGGTTGGGTAATAAGTATAAACCAATGTAAATGGACTTGATGCTGGGAATTGAGAAACTGAGGCAGAATTCTAAGTTGCAGATCAGCCTCTCTCTCTCCCAAAAAGAAAAAGTTGATATAACGAAACAAAACAAATACAAATGACGCAGCAGAAGACAGGGTGATGCATAGTGGCATCCTCACTACCATAGCCATGAATCATTCCCATGCAAATGAGAGCTGAAAAATATTTACCTTTGTGCACACAAATACACTGTGTGCCTAGCACCTGTGGAGGGCAGAAGAGGGCACCAGAGCCCCTGGAATGGTAGTTATGGAAGCCATGTAAGCTGTCATGGGTGCTGGAATCCGAAACCTAGGTCCTCTGCAAGAGCATCAAGTACTGTTGAGCCATCTCTCCAGCCCCAAGATTTATAATTCTATGTATATATGTGCCTGGGTGCATGAGGCCAGAGGTCAGAAGAGGATTTTGAATCCCTTGGAACTGGAGTTATAGGTGGTTGTGAGCTGCCATGTAGGCACACTGGGAGCCAAATCTGGGGTCCAGTGTACACACAGCGAAGACATAACCGCTGAGGCATCTTTCCAGCCTGCATCCCCATTTTTTTCCCCCTTTGAGACAGTCCCACCTTGTATCCTGAGCTGGCTCCTGTCTCAGCATCCTTAGTGCTGAGATCACAAATGTGTGCCACAATACCTGGCTTTTGATACTCGGGCATGGGGTGGAGTCGTGCTCTGGGGATGCAGCTCAGCTGGCAGAATGCTTGGAGGGCACACATGAAGCTCTAGGTTTGATCTTCAGCACCGCATAAAACTGGGACTGAGGGAACATGCCTAAAATCCCTCCATTCATGAATGAAGATCTGAAATTCAAGGTCATTCTTGGCTACTTGATGAGTTCAAGGCCAGCTTGGGCTACATACAAAATGTGATCATGTTTCAAAAACTAAGAAAAAGCAGAAACAAAACCAAACAACAACACCCCCCCCCACACACACACACAAAAACAATCTGAGCATCCGCCAGATGCTTGGTGCATCTGGTCTGTGTGTTCTTTATAAAAACAAACAAAATATGTTCCCGTTATGGAGAACTTGAAAATTTTTAAGTACTGAGAGGGGAAAAAAGCAACCCACCACCACAAAATATTGTTCATCTTACCACTAGAAATAACCACTCCTCACATCTTGATCAACAGAGTTCCCATTTTTACTGTGCATACTCTTAAACAATATATTATAAAAACAGACTTTACAGTATGTTGTTTTATAATTTGGCTTACTACTAATATTATAAACATTTTCTTTCCTCTACAACAGTTGATACAATTGCATAGCTTGGAGAAACGATGTAGTGACCTGGAACTCACTACGTAGCCCAGGCTGGCCATGGATTCTTGGGAGTCCTCCTCTTTGCCTCCTGAGCTGCACTTAGTAGGGCAGCTGAATGACTTAACCTTTTAACTCCCTTCTCTGTCCCCACCTAAGCATCAAACAATCCATTCTATTTTCCCCAATCTCTCTGTTCTAGTTGCTTCCTTCTTATCCTGTTGGTCCCTCCACACAGACCCGAGTTACTTCTACAGCTTCCCTGTAAGGTAATTTTTCTTGGGGCTGGAGAGATGGCTCAGTGGTTAAGAGCACTGGCTGCTCTTCCAGAGGTCCTGAGTTCAATTCCCAGCAACCACATGGTGCTCTCAACCACCTGTAATATGACCTGGTGCCCTCTTCTAGCCTGCAGGGTCACATATAGGCAGAACACTGTATACATAATAAGCAAATAAATCTTTTTTTTAAAAAAAATTTTTTTTCTTTCAGCACTTCTGAGTGCTGGAATTAAACCCATGTGCCACAATGCCTGGCCTATTATTTTTCTTTTTTGGTTTTTCAACACAAGGTTCCTCTGTGTAGCCCTGGCTATCCTGGAACTCGCTCTCTAGACCAGGCTGGGCTTGAACTCACTTGAGATCACCTGCCTCTGCTTCCTGAATGCTGGATTTAAAGGCATGTGCCACCATCATCTGGCTTTTTTCTTTCTTTCTTTCTCCTCCTCCTCCTCCTCCTTCAGGATTTATTTATTACATATACAGTGCTCTGCCTGCATCTATCCCTGCAGGCCAGAAGAGGGCACCAGATCTCAATACAGATAGATGGCTGAGAGTCACCATGTGGTTATTGGGAATTGAACTCAAGGCCTCTGGAAGAACAGCCTGTGCACCTAACCTGTGAGCCATCTCTCCAACCCCTACTTTTCTTTTCTTAAAAGACAATTTCTTAACCAATTTTCCCCTACTCTGAATTTACTCTCAGTTGCACATCAGGATTTAATATTCTTTTTTTTTTTTTTTTAGCTGAGGATCGAACCCAGGGCCTTGTGCTTGCTAGGCAAGCGCTCTACTGCTGAGCTAAACCCCAACCCAAGATTTAATATTCTTAAGAACTGCTTAAAAGTATTAGCAAGAAATGCTAAGAATTACTTTTTATCAAGAACCACAAGATGTGGGCTGGAGAGATGGCTCAGTGGTTAAGAACATTGAGTGCTTTTCCAGAGAACCCAGGTTCAATTCCCAGCACCCATGACAGCTCACAACTGTCTGTAACTCCAGTTACAGGGGACAGACACCCTCAGGCAGGCAAAACACCAATTCACATAAAATAAAAATGAAATAAATTTAAAAAAAAACAAACCAGGATGTGGCCATGTAGTACAGTTCTTAAGTAGAGTGGCTTTTAGGCTGGGATATAGCTCAGTGTTAGAGCACTTGGCACACACAGGCTATGGCTTTGACTGCCAGCACAGCCAGAAAGGGGCAGAGCTGTGCAAAGGTAAGGCCTAGTTAGCGTTGAGGGGGGTGTCAGGGATCACTATGAGCATTACTTCCAAATGATTGACAAATGATCATCTTTGTTAGGATACTGGCATTGAGTTCATATGACAGACAGCTACACTTTCATTTCCAGAAAAAGGCAAATGCCAGCCAGCATGAAAGTAGTCAGCACAGATGGTGCTCGTCCCGGAGTCCTGGATGCTGGGAGATCACTGTCCATCACATGACCACCTGAAAGGCAGAGATGCTTGGTCATTAAGGGAAGTCCCTCTAGCTTCCCTGCTGCCTCCACTGCCTGAGCACACGTCTGTCTAGATCCAGAACTCTGTGGGGCCTGACTGGATGAGGACAGTGTGCCCACAAGATCAGCAGCACTAACTACATGACTGCCTCACTCCCCTGAAGAGCTTTCATCAAGCTGCCGCAGATCTATTGTTAATGGGCTCTTCCCTGGATACTTTCTCTTCCAAGTTGGTGCGGACCCTGGTTAGGCTCTGGTAAGGGGACAACACACCTCGGACCCCAAATTCCAGGGAGAAAATATGGTCCCCATTCATCTAATCATTCTATCCTCATTTGCTAATAATGTCTATGCACAACACCAAAACGCAATGGTAAAGACACAGACCCTGTACTGGGGGATACAGGGTCCCATCCTGTATCAGATGAAGGTATACATTCATTTACTTTATGAACTTGCACACATTCAATTATAAAGAGTTCAAATGTGAGTCGCTCAGAAAAACCCAGTCCCGTGGGGTGGGGACAACTCTGGCCAACAACGTGGTGTGGGGACGACACTGGATCCTCTGCTCTAGTCTGTGTCCCTCTTGCCATTGTCTCCTTCAGATCTGTAAGATGAAGGGTGCTGTGACCAACCACCACAGACCCTTAGAGTGCAGAAGAACCACTGGGGGTGGGGGACAGAAGCAGTCAGATCTCTGTGAGTTCCAGGCCAGCCAGGGTTACATGGCGAGACCTTGTCTCAAAAAAAAAAAAAAAAAGTTTCCAGAGAACACCAGTGGGTTCAAAGTGCTGGGACCCAAGGCTGGTGGTATATTCCTGTAATCTCAGACTATGGAGGCTGAGGCACGAGGACTGATGGGAGTTTGAGGTCAACTTAGGTATAGAGTGAGTTCCAGACCAGCCTGGACTTCAGAATAAGACAAAAATAACAACAAAACACCCAAAACAACCAACCCAAATCCACCAGCGTACAGGAAGGATTAGTTGTAGCAGTGGGCTCTGAGTGGCTGGCCTGGAGTCTGTTGGGATCTTCTGCCCAAGGTCAGATGACACCAGAGGGCAGTTCTTGATGCTTAAGTGTCAAGCTCTTTTTCTGTTCACTGTGTTCAGCAGAAGCCTGCCTATTACCAGTGTAGACTTGAGGGAACTCCAAAGGTAGCGTGACAGTATGGGTTGAGGAATGTCCCTTACCAAGGCCCCCCACACCTGAGAGCTCTCATCAAAATCCATTGTATCAGGGACTGCAAACACACAGCTCCGTATCTGAGAAAGCATTCTCCATCAAAACCCATGCTTCAGGAACATCCATCAGGGGCCTTGCATCTGAGGGAGCACCCCAAAGGTCCCACATCTAAGAGGACACTATGTAAGGACCTCCTTATATGCCTAGGACACCACATCTAAAGAAACATTTCCCAGTGACATCACATCTAAGGGAGCACTCCCTAAGGACCTAGTGTTTGAGGGAGCACCCACCAAGGATTCTTTTTAGGCTCTATGCCCTCTGGAGCCCTTACACTATTTTATAAGCAGAGGCCTGACTGGCAGGTCCAGTTAGACCCGGCAGACTAAAGAGAGAGAGTTGCTTACCACAGCCAGGTAAAAAGGTCTGAGGAAAACAGTGGAGCTGGCCTTGCCAACACCTGCACAGGGAACACTTCTTGGGCAGCCAGGTGCCATGGAGGACAGACCCACAGTGCCTGAGAAAGAGGAGAGAACCCCGGAGGTGAATTCCTCACTCTCCCTTCCGTCCCCACCTCCCAGTCCTGTCCCTTCCAACAGCTTACTCTCTTCGTACATCACGTTCACAGTTGCGTCCATAGAAGGAAGGTGGACAGGCACAGAAGGACCCCAGGATACAGGTCCCTCCATTCAGGCAGCAAGTTTTATTAAGCAACTTACCTGAAATGTAAAAGAAGTCATGGGGCGGGTAGAGGACTGATAAACCATAAACAAAGGTCCATCTAGCACTCTGAAGAGCCCATAGCATAAGACTCTACCTCTTAGGGAAATCATTTTCATGTTCAGACCAGTGATGGTTACCAGTCTCCAGCACGAAGTAGCATCAGGAAAAAAACCCTGACTTTCAGGGATGTGACACAGCACGCACATCCCACTCACCTCCACACCCCAGCTAGTACAAGGCAACCCAGCCGCTAACTCACACATCCACTCTCTTAGGTCAAGTGCTAAAAAGTTACATTTGAGATGTATCAGGGCAGAACAGAGATGAATTAAGGCAAGCAAGTCTTACTGTTCTCTATCCCCATGGGAGGCACAAACTGGAAAGAGCGAGATCGTAATGCAGGTTCTTCCTGGTTCCGAAGGCTGTTATGTCTGATGGCCAGGCCTCTCGGAGATGGACTAGCTGGCTCATGGTGGCCCAACCCTGTATTTCAGGCCACATAAATTTCTTTACTTTTCTTTCTTTTTTTTTTTCGAGACAGGGTTTCTTTGTGTAGCCTTGGCTGTCCTTGAACTAGCTCTGTAGACCAGGCTGGCCTCGAACTCACGGAGATCTACCTGCCTCTGTCTCCCAAGTGCTGGGATTAAAGATGTGCCCTGCATAAAATATTGTTGGTGCTCCTAAGAAGCACCCCCGACCAACCACCAAGTATGGTGGCACATGCCTGTGACCTTAGCACTCAGGAGATGGAGGAAGGCTCCTGAGTTAGAGGCCAGCCTGAGAGGCCCTGTCCCAAACACCAAGGCTGAGCTCAACAGCAGTGTACTTAGGATGCATAAGGTTTACTCTCAGCACAGAGGAGGTGGGGATGGAGTGGAGGGTAATCTGGAAGTATATCCAGTAGGTGCAAAGCCCAGGGCTAAATGCCCAGCACCATGTGAACAACAACAAAGTTGGTGCTCAAAAGGAAAAAATAATTCGGCCAGATTCAGTAATGAACTTGGGAGGCAGAGGCAGGAGAACCAGGAGTTCACGGTTAGCCTTGGCTGTATTGTGAATTCCTAGGCTACAAGGCCTTTACCCCACAACAAAAGTGTGCATGTGTGTACAAAACTCACTGGGTGTGGCGGAGGCACTGGGGTGGGTGGAGGAGGCAGGGGATGAAGGAATCCCAGGACAGCCAGGGCTCCGTGACTCCCAGTCTCAAAAACCTGAATCCCAGCTGGGCAGTGGTGGTGCACGCCTTTAGTCCCAGCTCTCAGGAGGCAGAGGCAGGCGGATCTCTGTGAGTTCAAGGCCAGCCTGGTCTCCATGGAGAGTTCCAGGGCATCCAGGGCTACACAGAGAAACCCTGTCTTGAAGCTCCCCACCCCGCAAAAACAAACAAACAAACAAACAAACAAACAAAACAAAACCCTGAGCCCCAAACAAAAGAAAACACTCACCAGCAATGAGTCCAGATTCAAACGCACTGGAAACAACCACAAGTAAAACCAGACTAGAGAAAGGAAATTGGGCATCAGTCAGGGAGACAAAGCGTGTGAGACCCGGGCCTTCTCATCACAAGACCACAGGCCACTGAGAAGCTGAAGAGCGCCGCCACCTTCCTTCTCTAGTGCTGCCTCCAGTAACAAAACTGGAGCAGAAATTCCCTTTTCGGAAAAATTCTATTTTGCCCAAACTGCACATTTTTTTCCATGGTACAGTTTACATGTATGAATTTTTAAATGGCTGTATGGGCCAGCGTGGAGAACTTGCCTAGCATGTGCAGATCCTGGTCTGTTCCCCAGCACCACTAGATAAAAACCTGTCCTGTCATTTAAAGTGGTTCCAAGTTTAATTTGTTATTCTTAATGGTTTTTAAAGTATTGAATGTCTCTACCATTAACTTCTAGAGGCAATCGTAATTCGGCTGCAATACTAATATTATTTATGACGCGTGAGCTGGAAATGGTGGCGGCCACTAAGCTTTACAGTCTGAGTTGGATGCCCAGGACCCACACAGGGATCTCACTCCAGGAAGTCATATTCTGACCTCCACTCACACGTACCACTGCACCCTTACAGACACACACACACAGACACACACACACAGACACACACACACACACACACACACATACACACACACACTGAACGTTAAAAAGATTGACTATTTTAAAAAGTCAATGGCAAAGTAGTACGTAAGTACAAAGCTCCAGGGTCTTCAGGAAAAGCAGCAACGTTACTGGCAGCTTTTTAAGGTTCAAGCAAGATAAAATCAGAGAAGCATCTATAGAACATGGCTTTCTGAAGTTGCAATCTCCCGCAATCAAAAATTCAAGGTTAGTTCATACCTGGACGAGAAGTGCGCCATCTTCCACGGGTCGTAAAAATGTTGGAGAAAAATACAAGGAAAACAGTACTAGCAAATGGCTTTAATTCATAAAGGTTAATTTCCCGAAGTGAAAAATAGTAAATTAGAAAGATATCCCAGATGAGAAATGCGCCTGTCCCAGAGAATCTTAGGGCAGTCAACAGCCAAGCCGACTAGGGGGGATGGGGCCTCTCCCTCCTACAGACCGCTTTGACCTTGAGAAAGGACTTCCGAGAGATCTTCCTTCCTTCGTTAGAAACCCTTGGGGTGGCGGGAGGACCCTCAGGTGGGCGGGGAGACCGGAGCCCCACGCCCATGACCAGGCCTTCACACCGCAAGGCCGGGCGGTGGGCTTGGCTAGCCCGCAGTGTCTGATTAGATACAGGTTTTCTTTTCTCTTGAAAAAGGGGGTCGAAGGGAGAGAGTCAAGATATTCTACCGGGGCCGTTCCAACACGAAGGTCATTATTTAGGAACCGCTAAGCATCATGTATAAATATGTAGGCATTTGATACTTCACTACCGACTTTTAACTCTGAATTTGCTAAAAAGCCGCATGGAGCTGGTTGCTGGGGAGGCTTGGGTGGCTAGGGAAGATGGGCTGGCGAGCCGCGAGGACTTGTTTGGGTGAGGAGCAAGGTCAAGGTCAAGGTCCCGGAGGGATTGGAGTCGGGGAGTAAGAGCGAATCTTTGCCAGCGGCGTCTGAATTGCAAACGTGCGTCCCGGAGCCTGCGGGTGGGCGCGGGGACCTGCAGGGACCTGACGCTTAAAACTTGATTCTTCTGTGTTCAAACATGCCCAATACGCTAAGTGGATGAGCTGCAATTTACTGGTTCTCTCTCTCCCCCTCCCCCCATCTCCTCCTCTGTGTCTCTGTCTCTCTCTGTAGTGATGGGGAGTGCCTCGCCTTGTATCTGGAGTATCCCTCTATAGCTAGATGCTGGGCAGGTCTGTGGCACAACTCCCAGAGAAACATACAACCCCGCGTGATACCCCGTACTCTGAAGGCGCTATACCGGAGTTCTCATTTCGGAACTTAAGACGATGGCGGTCACCTCCCTGTTTCTGAGAAAGGCACTGAGGCTGCTGTTCGAGTGAGAGGTTTCAGAGCCCAAGGAAGCCAGTCTTCCTGTCCCATCGGAAACTGCCTCCAGAGGAGGCACATCCATGTGTGTGACCAGGGTGGAATGCCACGGGGCAAGGCTTCAAGGACCCAAAGTCAGGTACTTGTTGTTAGCCGTGGGATAGATACCAGGTCCATCCATTCTACTTTAATATTTTAGATTTATTCTCATACGCGACATGAGCAGTCAGGTATTAGAAACAAGCTGTCGTCTGTCTGTCTGTCTGTCACAAAAGCAGGTCATGGTGGCACAGGCCTGTACGAGGTGGAGGCAGGAGGATTGGAGTAAGTTAGAAGCCAGCCTGGTCTTCAGAGTGAGTTTAAGGCTAGCCTGTGCTACAGGGCAAGACCCTACTTTATATTTGTTCTAACCCTTCTTTTGAGAAAGGCTCTCACTCAAGCTTAGGCTGGCCTGGGAGTCAGTTACCTTCTTTCCTTTGTTTCTCCAAATTCTGGGATCACAGGCAGGTATTAACAAGCACAACTCAGACAGCCCCTAAATACAAAACACGGGCTGGAGAGATGGCTCGGCGCTTAAGAGCACTGGTTGCGCTTCCAGAGGACCCGAGGTTCAATTCCTAGCTCCCACATGGCAATTTACAACAGTTCCAGAAGATCTGACACCCTCACACAGACATACAGGCAGGCAAACCATCAACGCACATAAAAATAAATCTTAAAAAAAAAATGCAAAACACAAAAGCAACAACCCTCCCCCACTCCTGACATAGGCCTCTATGGTGATTCACTTGGTTAACAGTTTCAGCAAATTCGTACGGGCCAGCAGACCCAGACTGTGACCCTGGGCGGGCCCAGGAATTCTGTCCACACCCACTCTCTCTACCCCCACCCTAGTCACATTTAGCCTTCAACCTCTTTGCCAGTTCCTGAAACTCTGTGGGGATGTTATTTCCCTGCAGGCCCCTGCTCCTTCATTAACAAGCTAATGGCTGTTTTCACTGGGAATTTGACAAACAGAATTTGCTCTGCATACACCACTCGTTCCCTGTCGAGTTTGAAAGGACAGATTCCTGCATACAGACTGGCAGACAAAGTGTGAGGAGGGATGGTCGAGGGATTAGGAGGAGACCCCATTTGTTTCTGTGTGGTTTATGGTATTTCTCTACCTGTGTAGACATAGCAGGAATTATTTTATCACTGATCCCAGCAGGACACGTTTCTACAGTGTCTTCCCTTGGAAGTATAACTTGGGGACACTTGAGGGCATATCCTGGTAAATACTGAGCACTGAAATTGTTTGCTTAATTCATGCATGCTTCCAAAATGTTTTCCCAGAATCCCACCCTGTCCCTTTTCTTTCTCCTTTTACTGTAAAACTATGTACAGAACTCCTCTCCCTGGACTTGTCCATCCTGGCTGCAGTTAACATCCGAAGATTTTTTTGATTCCTGAAAAATAGTATTTTGGGCTGGGCAGTGCCTTTACTCCCAGCACTTGGGAGGGAGATGCAGGCTGACCTCAGTGAGTTTGAGGCCAGCCTGATCTACAGAGCAAGTTCCAGGGCATCCAGGACTACGCAGAGAAACTCTGTCTCGGAAAAAAAAATAGTATTTTGTTGTTTGGATTTGTATATTTCACTGTTTCTGGGTGTTTATATTTTGTTTCCTATGACCTGGCTGGTGGTTCTTACAGTGCCCTTGAACTGGCTTCTTTGGGCTTAGTCTGAATGTCATTTGCTCTGGGAGGTCCTTCCTGGCACTATTTGTCCCCAGCCTGGCTTCCAGCTGGGGCCCTGAACTGAAGAACAGATCCTGGTATCTATTGCCCCGCCCCAGAGTTTATTTTGCTAACACAGGATTGTAAACTGCTTATTTTCTTGTCTTTCACCCCATTACCCCTGGTTCCCACCTTGGAGGTCTAAAGCCTGGTCTTCCAGAACTCCCAGCTTCTCTAACCCTGATAGCAGTTTCTCTCCGAGCCAATCAGGAAAACCCCATCCATGGGCCACCCAGCGGCCTACAGAAGCATTAAGTCTCAGCCCCATTTTCTAAACTAGGGGCCAGAGCAACACCCTTGAGAAGCCAGGAAGACAGTATTTCCCCTCAAAACCTGAGCCTGGAAAAATAACAAGGAACATTGCTTTCCTCCAAAAATGAAGGAAAGAAACCCCAGTTTGTAGTCATTACTGATATGCCCGGTGCCTTATTCTCAAAAGTTAGCCATGCGTAAGACAAAATGATTTGGTGCAGTTTCAGAAGCAGTGTCAGAGGAGGGGTAGTAGGATTTACACTTTAGGGGTGTGTGTGTGTGTGTGTGTGTGTGTGTGTGTGTGTGTGTGTGTGTGTGTGTGTGTGTGTGTGTGTACATGCATGTGCTCTTGTGCACATGTGATTTTTTTACAGTTCTATTATTTATATTTTTTAGTGTGCATCTATGTGTGTGTGTGCACATTCCCGGCATGTGGGTGGAAGTCAGAGGACACCTTGCAGGACTTGGTGCCCTCTGCCTTCCACAGTGTAGGTACCCCAGAGAGAACTCCGGTCCATAGGCTTGTTGTGCTGGCGAGCTCCTCTGCCCACTGAGTCGCCTCACTTGCTCCAACTTTCTCCAGCTCTTTTGCACAGATCTTCCTTCTGCCGGTCAAATCGATTAGCTGTTTACTAACCAGGCACCTGGGCTGGCCTTGCCCAGTGGGGCAGGCTTTGGCTTCCTTTCCTCATTCTGGATAAGACAAGCCAAACACCATTTTAGTTGCATTCCCAAACTCCTGGTGAGGGGAAGGGAGAGCTCTGTCTTCACTGCTCAGGGACATTGTCAAAGTTAATTGGTCTCAGCAGACAAACGGGGAGACAGGCCCCTAGGAGACAATCAGAAGGCAAGCTGGGCTGCATTCACAGGATCTGGAGGACGTCATTTAAGAGAGTCTTAAGTGGATTTGTATGTGACTGCTTCCAGTGTTCCTCACGGCTCTCAGGGATTTGAAATGGATGAAATGCAGATGAAAGGTGGGAAACTGGGTGCAAGCCCAATCTGCCATCAGAAACAGACTTAAAGTCTGTCCTGGTGGTGAATGGCTATCTTTCATGCAAATGCCCAGGCACACTGACATGTCTGCTCCTGTAAAAAGTCAGTTGAGCCGGGCGGTGGTGGTGCATGCCTTTAATTCCAGCACTCGGGAGGCAGAGGCAGGTGGATCTCTGTGAGTTTGAGGCCAGCCTGGGCTACAGAGTGAGTTCCAGGAAAGGCACAAAGCTACACAGAGAAACCCTGTCTTGAAAAACCCAAACAACAACAACAACAAAAAGTCAGTTGAGCCGGGCTTCTGACTTAGGGAAATGAAGTGGGAACTGCTTTAAGTCATTGAGTTGATAAGAATTTATAACTTAGCAATGTAGAACTAATGTAACATCATCACTTTTAAAAAATGATGATTATTGCAGTGCTGGGAATTGTACCCAGGGCCTTTCACATGCTAGGCAAGTGCTCTGTCACCGAGGTATACCTCTAGCCTTTGCAAACGTTTTAGATTAAAATTTTTAAGGGGCTGGAGAGATGGTTTGTAGGTTAAGAGCACGGGTGCTCTTCCAGAGGTTGTGGGTTCAATTCCCGGCAACCACATAGTGGCTCACAGCCATCTGTAATGAGATCTGGTGCCTCTATTTGGTGCCCTCTTCTGGCACACAGGCATGCATGCAGGCAGAACATGGTATACATAATAAATAAATAAATAAATAAATAAATAAATAAATAAATAAATAAAACCAAAAAAGGTGCATGCCTTTAATAACAGCACTTGGGAAGCAGAGGCAGGTGGATCTCTTTGAGTTCGAGGCCAGCCTGGTCTATAAAGCGAGTTCTAGGACAGCCAAAGCTGTTAAACAGAGAGACCCTGTCCTGAAACCCACCTCCCCCCCACACACACAAAAGAATAGAGGTTCTCTAATCAGTTAAACACCTTCATAGACACCCCCTAAAAGAATGTTTCCTAAATCCAGTCAAATTGACAAGGAAGATTAACCAATCAGTGCTCAACAGCTGTGGCTGCTGGGTCGCACATTTGCAGCATGATTCAGGAGTGTGGCTGATGGCCTGTGAGGACCACCATCAGCCCAGGGCGCTCTCCCTGGACTTTTAGCCTGCAGATGTGAAGCAGCAAGCCAGGAGCCCTTGCCACTTGCTACCATTCAATAATTGAAAGGCAGTGTATAACATGCTTCGTTCTTCTGCACACACATCATAATGGGAGGGAAGTCAGGTACGAGACATCGGGGGTTTTCCTGGAAGAAAGCTTTGAGATGCATGTGACTCATGTTCCAGGAAGAGCCACAGTCTCAGATGACCTGAGTAAAGGTTTGGTTATCTGGGTGTGGTAGAACCCCTTTGGAAGGGAGATAAGCATGCTTGTGTCCTCACAGAGAGGCAGAAGCTTGGTTTGTGGATGATGTTTCAGAGGAGTCTGAGAGCCGAGCTGGGGCTGAATGTCTAAAAGCAGTGGTTCCTAATGCTGTGACATGTTGTGGTGACCCCCAACCATAAAATTATTTTGTTGTTACTTCATAGTTGTAATTTTGCTACTGTTATGAATTGTAATGTAAATATCTGTGTTTTCCAATGGTTTCAGGTGACCCTAGGAAAGGGTCTTCTGAACTACAGAGGGGTCAGGACCCACAGGTTGAGAACCACTGCCTTAAAAGGTGCTGTTCTCAAGCCGGGCGGTGGTGGCGCACGCCTTTAATCCCAGCACTTGGGAGGCAGAGCCAGGTGAATCTCTGTGAGTTCGAGGCCAGCCTGGTCTACAAAGCGAGTTCCAGGAAAGGCGCAAAGCTACACAGAGAAACCCTGTCTCGAAAAACCAAAAAAAAAAAAAAAAAAAAAAAGTGCTGTTCTCTTGGACCCCAGCTAGGACTACTCATGAGGAAGCTGTGTATCAGTATACATGTTAGGCTGTTTATGGTTTCCCGGGCACTTGGGGAAGTGAGTACCACAGGGCACAGGTCTCCCTGGTGCATTCTGGGAGCTCAGAAGTGGCAAGCTGTGTGTGTGTGTGTGTGTGTGTGTGTGTGTGTGTGTGTGTGTGTGTGTGGTGGTGGTGGTGGTGGTGGTGGTGTTTTCCTCCACAGGGTCTTATAGAGCCCAGGCTGACCTCAAACTTCCTAAATAGCTTAGGATGACTCTGAACCTCTGGCTTGCCTACTCTACCTCCTGAGAGTAGGGATCACAAGTGTGCACTGCCACACTTGTCTTTTTGGATGTGCCCAGCCCAGAGCTGCAGCAATCTGTGCAAGTGAGTTTAGTGCATTACCAACAATTCCTTACACAAGAGTAAACACATTTTGTGTTTTAGAGTATCTCCTGGCTGTTTGTCAACCTCAGCACACGTGTAAACACTGACCTTATGACTCCTGGGACCTCCTGGGGCACAGGGGCTTGGTCAGTCCTACCAGCGAGGAGCTGACCTGGCTACCGCTGCACCAGACTGTGCTAATTCCTGCTTCTTACCATGTGGTCACGAGCCAGCAATGTTGGCATCAGGTAAAGCTTGTTAGAGATATAGCTATCTGGCTCTGTCGTTGAGCAAGCTCCTGGCAGCTCAGGTGTAAAAGTTGGCAGATAAAACAAGGCAATCAGTTAGACATAAATTTCAGGTTGATGACAATTTTTTTTTTTTTTAGTATAAGTATATTCTCAAAGTAGTATTCTTATTGTAACATTACGGATTGAATCTAGGACCTCATGCATACCAGGCAAGAACTGAGACTAAAGGGCACGAAACTCCACACTCAGCTTTCAGGGTTTTTGTTTGAATTTTGAGACTGTGTCTCAAGTAGACCAGGCTGGCCTTGAACTCCATATGTAGTTGAGGATGACCCTAAACTTCTGATCTTCCTGCACCCACCTCCAGAATGCTGGGATTCCATGTGTCTGTCACCTTGCTTATTAATTGAGGAGTTGGCATGGGGTATTAGTTGTTCTGGGTTGGCCTTGAATCAAGTGTAGATAAGGATGACCTTGACCTCCTGACTCTCTGCTTCCCAAGTGCAGGGATTTTGGGTACACTCCAGGACTTCAGATTCAAACCAAGGTGTGTGAGGAGGCCTTGCTGTTATAATGGCTTAGAATCCTGGGCGAACACTGGAGTTCCTTTACTCACTGGGTGTCATTCCAGTGTCTGCCATTGGTAAGACTATTTCCCAAGTAGCAAACGTTTAAGGATACAAGGAACAAGCAAGCAAACAGACCAAAAAAAAAAAAAAAGATGAAATCAAGACTTTCAATGTATTGCTTCAAACATCGCAAAAAAAAAATTTACATAACCTTGATCCCTTCCTATGCGCTTTCTAATCATGTCTCGTGTTTGGCTCCTTGCCAAAACCGAGACCACAGAATGCTTACCCCTTAGCTCTGTTTTCTTCTGTTCGCGCAAGGCTTTCCCAGCTGGAAATCGCCAGCCCTCTGTGGAGGCGTTCAGGGGATTCTGCCTGCCGAGCTCGTTCAATAAGCCTGCTGTGCCCAGGTGCCAAGCCCTCCCCGACCAGATCTGTTTTGTCTCTTGCTAGGCTGAGTCACATAGAATAGATAGTTTATCAGCACATGTCCTCCAGATCATATTATCCGCTTACAAATATAGCCTGTTAGCGCACAGGCACGGTAGTCCTTCCGCTGGGGGTGTTGCTCTGAGAGTGTAAACAGCGCCGAAAGCGGATTACAGGGTGGCAGCCGCGGCCGGGGACTCTCAGCACCACCCGCACAGGGAAGGTGAGTGGCGGGTGGTCTCGGCCGCAGCGGCGGAGGGGTGTGAGCTAGCAGATGGGAGCGCCGGTCCTGCGACTGCGCGGAAGCTGAGTGGGGCGTCGCGGCTGCTTGGGGGGGACCCGCCACCGCGCCTGCGTTGTGGCTTTGGCTGGTGAGCTCCGGCCAGCAACCACCCAAGCACACGGAGGGGACCAGGCTTTAATCGGTGCTTAGTTCAAGAACCACAATTGAGTGGGGCGACAGAAATCACGTCGGGATGCACGGGTGCCCTCAGGTGGGCTCCAGTCGGGACAAGGTCCTCAGGAATCCTCCTGGTTCTTTCGGGAGGACCATCACGGTGCCCAAGACTGAGTTTCAAAGTGCTGTCCAGGGGGTGATAAATCATCTTTGTTTGTGCCCTCTTCTGGTCCTTGGAAAATATGCTTGACATCTAACTAGGAGGGAGGGTTGGGGGCGTGGTCCTTTCTTTCACAAAGCTTCCTGCGCCCCCTGGTGTGGGTGGGGCAGGGGTGGAGGCAAGGGAGGCAAAGTGATTGGAGACCCACGAGAGGATTGTCCAGCTCTGTTAACGGCCCAGGTGCAGCGGCGTCTCGGCTGAACAGTCACCAGGGCCTGGGGCGTCCTCCAGTCACCGGTCCGTAGAACCGCCTAACCGAGTCGAGTGGGGAAAAGTCCCCTGATGCCCACCGACCTCTGGTGTGTCAGTTTGGTTTCTTGTTTTTAAACAGGGTCTCATGTAGCCCAGGGTGGGGAAGGAACCTAAGGATTTTCTGCATGCCAGGCAAAAATTCTACTAACTGAGCCATACCTCAGCCCTCACCTCTTGTTGACATCTTACACTTAATTGATGACCAATGGTCTGTCTTGATTTCTTTTCTTTAATTAATTGACACCCCATCCCCATCCTTACTGGGTGACAGGCTCCATCCCCCCCCCCCCCCCCCCCCCCCCCCCCCCCCCCCGAGCCGAGCTGAGGACCGAACCCAGAGCCTTGCGCTTGAGCGCTCTACCACTGAGCTAAATCCCCAACCCCGACAGGATCCATCTTAAGCTGCACTTGATCCAGTGATCACAGGGTGCTCTCTCACCAAGCCTGGGAGCTGGGTGCTGTGGTTGTATCTTGTCCACATGAAAATCCAGCAGCTCTGTCCCCAGGGATTTGTAGCCAGTCAGCCAGGAGGCAGGGTTCCAGCTTGGGCCATCTGACTCAGCCCCTGTTCTCTTAATCCTTTCTGTACCCTCTGTCTCTCCTGACTTGAGCTTCTAGTTTAATAAATTACCCTAACAATAATCAAATGTCCCAAGGGAAACTCAGAGCAGGCAGCATAAAATGAAATTCAGTTTAGAATTCAGCTGAAGTTCAGTGGTGGCTGTTCTGACCTTACTTTAAACTTTAGCCCCTGGCTACCCCACTGTTCTATCAGAAAACCCATTCTGCCTTCCAGCTGTGGAGTGCACAGCTGTGGAGTGTACAGCTGTGGAGTGTAGGGCCCCCCAACCCCCACCCCACCCCCACCCAGAACCCTGGTCTCCTGAGCAGTTCCTATTGACTGTAGCCATTCCCTTGGAGGGAGCTGGACTGATGACATCTTCCCTTACAGGATACACCTAGAAGGAGCCCAGGGGAAGGCTGGGAACTTGACCCTCAGGTGTTAGGGCAGGAAGGGCAGGTGGGATGATGTTGTTAAGAGTTGTTAGGGGCAGAACCTGGGCGCCAGCTTCGGAACAAGCTAGGCCCAGCTGGCGTCCTTGATAGGCCAGATAAACAGACATCAGCACAGAGCGGAGAGCCGGGTGTATTCAGTGTGGCTGTATTGGAAATGGAACAAAGAGGCTTAGAGGACCCGGTCCGCCTTCACAGTCCTGGCATGGGGTTAGAGTTTAAACAGAAGGTAAGAGACACTGCACAGCTAAACTGTCCTGGTCATGTGACCCTGCCCATCACCTGGGCTCCAATCTCTGCTGCAACATGATCTGACCAGTGGCCAGAACTGTGAAATCTTCTGAGATACAAGTTTCTCCTTTTTGAGATACAAAGAAAGGCTAGCTGAGGTTTCAGCCTTTTCTTTCTCCCAGTGTGAGGTTATTGGGGGAAATTCCAATTTTAGGGAGCAGGTCAGCTGTCTCAATAGTATGATAGTCAAAGGTAAGAGGCAAAAGTATCCCTTTAGGATATCTTCATTGCAGTCAGATGGTCATAGCGAGCCAGGTCCGTCCCTCCGTAGCATCCAAGTGTTCCCTGGCACCTGCTTTCTCTCTCCTTCCTTTGTTCTTGCCTCTCCCTGTACCCATAACGGGAGTATCAAAATGGCGCAGCATCAGTATGGGAGACTTTGCTGGGTCGCTTCCAAGCTCCTCCAGATCTTTCCCATGATGCTCAGAGCTGTCAACTTGGTACCCACTCCACACCTCCAGCCCCCTAAGCCCTTGACGGCCTAGCTTATCAGTTGACAAGGGAGAGGACTAGGTGACCTGAATGTTCCCCTCCAATCCCCTGGCATATGACTGAGTGGACACAAGAGCTCTGATGCCAGGGGACACATTTTTCCAGTCATGCCCTTGGCTCCAGGAAGCCAATGCCTTTGTAAAGCGGTTCTGCCATAACTGAGCTGAGGTGGGGGGGGGGCATGGAAAGTTTGCAACTAAACCTGCATTGATGGCTGTGCCCCCTGTCACTCCCAGCGCCGCTCCCTACCCAACTTGCCAGTTCTCCACACTCTCTGCAAGGCTTCCCTCCTCTTGTGGCTCCATGACAGTTGGTTGAGCCTCAGATATCTGATTCTCTGATTCAAATGCTGAGCCGAAATATGTCCCTGCATGCAGACGTTTGGTGTTCTCCCTGGTAGCCTGTGGACTGATGTGGGAGGTGTGGAAGGGACCTCAGTCTTCTTTCTGTTTTTCTGGCTTCCATGGGCACTACACGCACATGACACACAGATGTAGATACAGGTAAAACACTCACACACAGAAAAACAGTACATTCAGTTTAAAAGTCTGACCTGTCGCTCCAGCCCTGTGCCATTTCTCACCCACTCTGCACCTCCACCCTAGTAAACTGCTCCTCAGTTTCTCACTCCGTAGATGCAGTCAGCTTTACTTGGGCATGTTGGTTGATTTTTAAAAAATTTTATTTCAATTTAAGATGTTATTCGTTATTGTTTTTGTTGTTGTTACAGTGTGTGTGTGTGTGTGTGTGTGTGTGTGTGTGTGTGTGTGTGTGTGTGTACAAGTCACATGTGTGCCATGCCATGAGTCTGAAGGTCAGAGAACAAGTTTTGGGGAGTTGGTGTTGAGCCATGGACCCTTTGGGGTGGAAGAATATAATAAAGGTTTTACGTTGTTTTTGTTCTTAATGGCTTTTTGCCCCAACAGTAACTTCCTATTTCTTGAAATGTAGATCATTCCTCCTTGTCTTCGTAGCATCTCCCTGTACCTGTCACATAAGAAATAGAGGTGACTGAGGTACTACTCACTCTTACCCCAGTCAGTCAATAATTCAGTTATTTCTTTAGAGAAATTGAACTTCTATAGAGGATCTGAGTTTGGTTCCCACATACCCATATCAGGTGTCTCACAACCATCTGAAACTCTGGCTCCAGGGCAACACAAAGTTTCTGGCTTCCCTGGATACTAGCACATATCTACATGCACACACACACACACACACACACACACACACACACACACCATACATATACACTTTTTTTTGTTTTTTGTTTTTTTTGAGACAGTGTTTCTCTGTATAGCTTTGGTGCCTGTCCTGGATCTCGCTCTGTAGACCAGGCTGGCCTTGAACTCACAGAGATCCACCTGCCTCTGCTTCCTGAGTGCTGGGATTAAGTGTTTGTTACCAGACCCGGCTTGTGCGCATTTGTTTGACAAAACACAGTCTATGTGCATATGAAGCTGACATATGTATTTTTTATAGGTAATTTTATGCTGCTCCCCAAATGGGACACAAAGTGGTGGTGTTTGACATTTCTGTCGTCAGAGCCTTGTGGGAAACTCGTGTCAAGAAGCACAGAGCATGGCAGAAGAAGGAGGCTGAGAGGCTGGAGAAGAGCGCACTGGAGAAGTACATTTTGGTGCCTGTTATTCCAGCTTGGTGGGAGTGGGGACTCAGGCAGGGTGCTGGTTGCCGGGGAGGAAGGAACTCTTCCCTCTGTCCTCCCCAGAGGAAGAGGAGGATTTCTCACTGTCAGGGCCACTTTCCCCCACAGACTTCATAACCCGTGTGGTGCTGTACTCCATCCCTTTAACGGTGACACCCAAAGCTGTGAGGAGTTACGTGATGTCCAGACACTGTAGGCACAAGGAGGACAGAGATGGCACAGACATCCCTCTATGCCCAACCCCATAGAGGCTACTCGCTGCCCTTCACTGAACTCACTAGACCTCCTGGTGCTCCTTTGTTCACGCATTTTGTCCATCTACTTGAACTTGAAATGATGCAGCCTGACTCTCAGAAATGCATGAAATGGGAGTAAAAGAGTTCTCTTGATGGCTCAGCAGTTAAGAACACTTGCTGCTCTTGTGGAGGACCAGAGTTTGACTCACAGCCACCTATAGCTCCAGCTCCAGGGTGTGTGATGATGTCCTCTGGCCTCTGTGGGCACTGTATACACCTGGTGCACATAGAGACAAGTAGACACACACACACACACACACACACACACACACACACACACACACACCACTAAGTTGCAGAGCTGGAGAGATGACTCAGCAATTAAGAGTGCTTGCTGCTCTCCTAGGGGACCTGAGGTCAGGTCCCAGCACCCAGGTCGACCTGCTCATAACCTCCTGTAACCTAGCTCCAGGGAATCCAAAGCCTTCATCCTTGGATACTCATATGCAAACATGGCATATACACATGCGTGTACAGGTACACACACACACACACACACACACACACACACACACAACAATAAACTCTAAAAAACAAACAAAAACAATACCACAAAACACACTAAGTTGAGGTCATGCTTCAAAAAACTCTATGGTAAATGTGAGCATACAATCATACGAACACTGTCCAACATAACACAAGGATGGTAAGCCAAGAAGGCTGTAGACTCAGGAGGCTTTACATACGTCTATAACTTTTATTCTCTGTGAAGAAACCAAAACCAGAATTCTTTTTTTTTTAAGATTTTTATTATCTATTTATGTATATGAGTGCTTTATCTGAATGTACAACTTTATGCCAGAAGAGGGCATGAGATCCCACTAGAGATGGTTGTGAGCCATTATGTGGTTGCTGGGAGTTGAACTTAGGACCTCTGGAAGAGCAGGCAATGCTCTTAACCACTGATCCATCTCTCTAGCCCCAAAACCAAATTCTTGAGGGGTACATTGTGGTTAAAGGCTAAATGGGATTCCAATTGGCTAACTCATCTCAAAGGCAGTTCCTGACCCTACATCCAATTGGGAAATGGTGGTGTATTTGTATTAGCTTTGTTTAGTTGTTTTGTTTTTGTTCTTCAAGACAGGGTTTCTCGGTGTAGTCCTAACTGCCCTGGAACTTGCTCTGTAGACTAGGCTGGCCTTGAACTCATAGAGACCCACCTGCTTCTGCCTCCCAAGTGCTGGGATTAAAGACTTTCACCACCACGACCCAGCTATTTGTTAGCTTTAAGTTAGCAATGAAAGGTGTGAAGTCTCAGTGGTAGAGCGCTAGCGCAAGGCCCTGGGTTTGGTCCTCAGCTCCGGGGGGAAAAAAAAAGAAAGAAAGAAAAAGGTGTAAAGTGTGACTCAGTCAATCAATTTATCTATAATCTATTTTTAAAAAATAATTTATAATTTTACCTTTTTATTTTATGTGCATTGGTGTTTTGCCTTCGTGTATATCTGTGTGAGGGTGTTAGATCTTGGAGTTACAGACAGTTGTGAGCTGCCATGTGGGTGCTGGGAATTGAACCCGGGTCCTCTGGAAGAGCAGGTAATACTCTTAACTGCTGAGCCATCTCTCCAGCCCCCTACAATATTTTTTTTTTTTTAATAATTTGTTGTATGCACTCATGAGTACTCCTGCCACTGTACACCCGTGGAGGTCAGAAGATAACTTATATGAGTCAATTCCCTCTTCCATGAGGGTTCTGCGGGGTCAAACTTAGGTCATTAGGCTTGGCAGTGAGTGTCTTCACTGCTAAATCATCTTAGCATCACTTGCCTTCAGACCAAATCAGCCTGAGTAACCCAGGGTGGTCTTGAACTTGTGTAACAAGAATGAGCTTGAACTTTTTTTGTTTTGTTGTTTTGCTTTCAAGACAGGGTTTCTCTGTGTAGCCCTGGCCGTCCTGGAACTTGTTTTGTAGACCAGGCTGGCCTTGAACTCATAGAGATCCTCCTGCCTCTGCCTCCTGAGAGCTGGGATTAAAGCCACCACTGCCACCGCTGCCACCACCACCTGGCTGAGCTTGAACTTCTAATTGTCCTGCCGGCACCTCCCGGTGCTGGGATTACAGGCTGTATTTATATGGGTTTGTAATTTGTGATATAGGAAAGATACAGTGTAATCTTCACACTATGTTTCCTGGATCTGCCTTCTAATTTGGTTTCAGAAGCACAAAAAGCTGAGGCAGGGGGATGTCTTAGCAGGAGGAGGCCTTTACTGCTGTGTCTGTGGATCTGAGTTTGTTTTCTGGGACCTGAGTGATGGAAGAGAAATGACATTTTCAGATGTCCTCTGGCCAACTGTGTTTCAGAGGCTGGCCTTGAACTCCTGGCCCTGCTTCTACCTCTCAGGTGCTGGGACTACCGGCCTGTACCAGCACATGGAGCCCTGCTGGGTGCCTTTCCCCAGAGTGCTTCTTCCTGTGATTGAAACTTTGGAGCTGTATTAATTATTAAGTGTTCCTGATCCCTTAGTCTAATGCCAAGCATGAAACCTCCACGATATCTAACGTGGTTTCTTGTCAGCAAAAAGTTGTACCAGAAGGTGATGTTTACAGAGCAAGGCAGCAGCACATGCAAAGCTGCCTAGTGAGTTCGAGGCCAGGCTGGGCTATAGGAGACTCTGCCTTAATAAAACAGACAAAAAGAAGGCGACACTTGCAGATAGAGCTGGGGACCTGCTACAGAAATGTGGGGATGTGGTGTCAAAAGCAGACACTGTAATATAGGGTTTTTTTGTTTTGTTTTGTTTTGTTTTTTGTTTTTTCGAGACAGGGTTTCTCTGTGTAGCTTTGCGCCTTTCCTGGAACTCACTTTGGTAGCCCAGGCTGGCCTCAAACTCACAGAGATCCGCCTGCCTCTGCCTCCCAAGTGCTGGGATTAAAGGCGTGTGCCACCCCCGCCTGGCTGTAATATAGTTTTAAAGGAAACCACGCTTAAGCGAATGTGTCGATAATTTTGGTAGGAGGTTTAGCCAAAGATTCCATCTAATTCAGCTCATCTTTTTTAGTTGTGGGAATTAGTGATTCACAGAAGGGTCTCAGTGTTCCCAGCATTCCTGGCGGCAGGAAAGTAAGATCAGGACAGGCCTTTGGCAGCCAACAGTGGGAAACCAGGTTCCAGGGAAGTGGAGGACCAAGCCTGCTTGTTCTCCAGGGGAAATAACAAGTCTTCTGCTTCCTGTCTTAGGATAAAGGAAGAGTGGGACTTTGTGGCTGAGTGCAGGAGGAAGGGCGTGCCCCAGGCACAGTACTGCAAGAATGGCTTCGTGGATACCAGTGCAAGGCTCCTGGAAAAGATGGAGAGGAACTCCGTCACCAGGCAGAGTGCATGGGTCAAGGACAGAGGCAAACGGAGCAATCCATTTGTGTTTGAACTTTCAGGGGCACAGTGGAAGGTGAGTGTCTGTCTGTCTGTACAAAGTAGGCACTCAGGGTTATGTTATTGCTGAGGTTGAGCCTTAACTTTGGCCAAATGAATGCTCTGGTCTGTGGAGGGCTTTCCAGTGGATGTGAAAGAGCCTATCCTCTACTCTGAGCTGGGCCCTCCCGTCCTTTCGCTGTTGTTTGAGACTGGATACAGTGTAGCCCAGGCTGGCCTTGAACTTGCTGTATTGCTGAGGATGGCTTCAGTCTGACCTTCTGGATCGTACTGCCTCTGTCTCCCAAGTGCAGGGATTCCAGGCATGCACCGCACTTGAGACTCAGAGGTCATCTTTTAGAAGCCATGTGACCTGAAGCAGCAGCTTACTTCATTTGTATGCATTTAAAAAAATGTGTTCTTTTTTTTTTTTAACTGCTGGGGATTGAGTCCATGGCTTCGCGCATGTGGAAAGAGCCCTGGGCTGTGGTGAGAATGAACCAAGTGAACATTCTGTGAGCCATAGTTCCCTCAGAATGAGATTGTTCCATAAAGCCTCCTTGCTCTTTCTTTTTTGCATTTCTAACGAAAGCTTTTCGGGTGCCTGCCCGGAAAAACTTTCTCCCAGAGTCCATGAAAGAATCTACAACCAGCTAGGAATCTAATCTGAGGGATCTCAAATGAGTCTACGCACGCCATGCTCTTTCAGTCCATCCCCTTTACTGTTCTGAGTAAGCTTCTGATCTCTGCTGTTCTCTCCTGGTTCTCCTGCTTCTCTGAGCCTACAGCTTCTTTTCAGCTCTCATTCTTAGCTCCTCTCTTGCCTGACTCCTTACATTTCTAACAGGAGACTCCTCGAAATCCTGAGAAAAGTTTCCAAACCCTCAAGGTCATAGCACATTCCTAGAATAGATGATGAGGAGCAGAGCCATTACCATGGTAATGCAAAGTTCCAAGGTCTCAGGACCAGAGGGAGGGGGCACAGTGCCCAGTGCGACAAACTCTGAGACATAGCTTTTTATCAGCAGACTTGGCAAGCGAAGAATTGGCAGGCTTTTCTTAGGGTGTTTTGTGTTGGTAACCTTGGTGAGACACCTGGGACTCTGACCTTGTGCATAACTGTAAAGTTTTAAACTTATGATCTGTTTACAAAAGCCTCTAGTCTAGTTTGAACTTGCTCTGAGGTAAAAATGAACTAAATGTTAGACTGAGGAGAGATTATTATTTTCTGTGTTAGTTTGAGCAAGAGGAACAAAGTAGACTCCAACTGTCCACAGACTATGGGACAATGGATCTGGCTACGAAGCATCTCCTAGTATATTTTCTGTATATCAAAATTGTACAGCCAGTGGAAAGTCTTCTTCCTGACCACCCACAGATATGTGTGTGCCCATAAGATTGAGATGCAATCATGACATTACATATACACATTTCATGAAAATGCATGGTAATGGGGAGATATCATAGCTGTAACTGCATGAGAAGTTTACAACAAGAAACAGCCGATTCATTCAAAAGGCAATAACTCCAACATACCTTGAATGATGGCTTAGTCCTTTACCAGAACCTTGGTTCTGATAGGTTGACCTTTTGAACACTAGTTGTCAACCGCTGTATACTCCCATGGCCTTTTGCTATGAGCAGCTCTCAATACATTTCCATCATTTAGATCAGTAGGTATACAGATAGTGCCTATTTACTGAGCTCAGGTTATCAGGCTCGGTTGCAAGTACTTGTACTCAGTGAACCACCTTGGTGAATCAGAATGCGTGTGTGCGTGTGCGTGTGCGTGTGTGTGCGTGTGCGCGTGCGTGCGTGCGTGCGTGTGTGTGTGTGTGTGTGTGTGTGTGTGTGTGTGTGTGTGTATACATGTGGAGGTTAGAGGACAACTTTGGGGAGTTGGTTCTCACCTTCCCCCATGTGGGTCCCAGGGATTGGATTCTGGTTGTTAGGCTTGGTGGCAAGCACCTTTACTTGGTAAGCCATTCTACTGGCCCTCTACTTTATTATTATTGTTGTTGTTTTGAGACAGGGTCTCACTATGTAACTTTGGCCAAACTGGAACTTGCTCTGTAGGCCAGGCTGGCCTCACACGATCTGAGAGATCCACCTGCCTCTGCCTCCTGAGCACTAGGATTGAAGATGTGCACCACCACACCCAGCTCACTTTATTTTTTTGAGTCAAGGTTTCTTACTGAATTGGAAAATCACCTTTAAAAAATTGTTTTGAAATTTTACTTTTTATTTTATGTGTATGGGTGTTCTGTCTGCATGTATGTCTGTGTACCACATGTGTGTCTAGTGCCTATAGAGGCAAGAAAAAGATGTCAGATCCTTTGGAACTAGAGTTACAGACTGCTATGAGCAACTGTGTGGATGCTGGGAACTGAACCCAGGTGTTCTGCAAGAAAAGTTAGTGCTTATAACAGCTGAACCAGCTGTCCATTTCTAGAAAGCCGTCTTTTACTGCCAGGGCTGGCCAGCCCCCAGGAACTGCCGTCTCCATGGGAGATACAGACATATGTGGGGGCTGCACTCACTCTTGCTTTCACAGCAAGTGCTCTTGCCCCCAAGCCGTCACCCTGACCCACTTCTTGTCTTTTGGTGAAAGACCATTGGTATATCATTCTCATGTGCTGTCAGCAGACACAGCCCTGGCCACATATCCACATCAGGGGAGTCTCTGTCTGGTATGTATATGGGTACAGTGTGTGTGTGTGTGTGTGTGTGTGTGTGTGTGTGTGTGTGTGTGTGACAAAGGTCAACCTAGGGCATCTTCCTCAGTTGCTCTCCACCTTGTTTTTTGAGATAGGATTTCTCACTTTTACTTAGAACTTGCCCATTGGACCAGGTTGGCAAGCCAGTGAGGTTCCCAGGATCTACCCACCACCTCTACCTTTCCAAGGCTGGGATTAAAGACATGAGCCACCACACTTGACATTAAAGTGGGTTCTGGGGAGCAAACTCAGGTCCCCAAGCTTGTAAGGTAAGCATTTTCCCAACTGAGCCATCTTCCCAGCCTCTAGCTTTCTTTCAAATACACCTTGGTGATAATGCCCACTTTACCTGTCTCACAGTCTTTAATGACGTAATACCTGAGTGTAAGGACGTTCGTAGGTAAAGCTTGACCACACACAGCAGCGGTGATCGTGAGGTCAGTTAGAAGCATAGAGCTGCCACTCTCCCTACAGTGCTGTACCACACATTGCTGATGGGAAGGAACATTATGTTCACCTTCATGATGTCGGGGACCCTTGTCTCTCCCTTTACTGCCAAGTACCTCCTGCGTAGCTTGGGCTTGGTGGTTTGGATTTCTTCAGTGGGACAAGCTGCTGCTCAGAAGTCTTTAGCGCCTTTCCATACCATTATGTTCTTAGCCCAGCACACTTGAACTAGAGAGGCTGTGGCTGCCACTGCCCTCATCATTCTTCCTTCAGAAGCTAAAGCCAGGTGTAGTGGTATTTGTCCTGCCCATGACCTTGGGTTATAGGGCCTGAAGGAGGCAGTGCTTCCTGCCTTTGTACCGGCCTCTTAAAAGGAGCAGGAAGAAGGGTAGGCCCTATAGCCCAAGGTTATGGATGGAGCAAATACCACTACATCCAGGGATACAGTGCAGCTGAAAGAAGGTGGAGGCTGGGTTGGAACGGGTTTACTGCACACTGTCTGTCTTTCAGAAGCTCTTTCTTCTATTAGAGACTCATAAACATAAAAGTACTTGAGGGTTTGGTATGGAAAACTCACTCTGTAGACCAGGCTGGCCTCAAACTCACAGAGATCCACCTGCCTCTCCTGAGTGCTGGGACTAAAGGTGTGTGGCACCACCACCCGGTTCAAATAGTTCTAAAAGCAACTACAGAGTAATAGAGTATAAATGTCTAAAACAACCAGGTGTGCCCAACCTGCTCCCTGCAGGCCAAATGCATCCCGGGATGGCTATCGATGCAGACCAACAATACATAATCATAAGCTTATTGAAAATATGGGATTTTTTTGCAGGTTTTTAAACTCAATTTGTGCAGTTCTCAAGAATGAGCTTTGTAGATGTCAATGTCTGTCATGATGTCAAAGTTTGTACATGCCAACATGGAATATATAGGACAGATTTTATTTTATTTTATTTTTTTTTTTTTAAAGGTTTATTTATTTATTATGTATACAGTGTTCTGTCTGCATGCATGCATGCATGCCAGAAGAGGGCACCAGATCTCATTACAGATGGTTGTGAGCCACCATGTGGATGCTGGGAATTGAACTCAGGACCTCTGGAAGAGCAGCCAGTGCTCTTAACCATCTGAGCCATCTCTCCAGCCCCCAGATTTTATTTTTAGAAGATGTTAAATGTATGCTGTTGATAAATATTGTGAAACTGGTCATCTGTGTTCACTAGGCTTTACACACACACACACATATAAACTATTAACTACATGAATTATATATGAGGTGTGTGTGTATGTGTGTATGTGAGTATGTGTGTGTACGTGTGTGTACCTATGCTTGTATAAGCTCAGAGGCCAGAGAAGTATGTTGTGTGTCCTGCTCAATCACTCTTTCCCTTATTCTGATAACTGTACATGTTAAATAGTTAATATAGTTAATTATATTTGGAGACAGGCTCTTGCTAAGTTGTCAAGGCTGACCTTGAACTTGTGATACTTCTGCCTTATCCTCCCAAACAGATGGACTTCCAGGTCTGCACCACTAGGCCTGGCTAGGATTTGATTTTATTGTCACAAATCTGAAATGAAGCTGCTCTGCTATTGTGAAATTAATGACAATCACCATGGTGATATTTTATTTATGCATCCCAATAAAGTTTATCTGAGGATCAGAGGAAAAAGCCAGACACTATATTAAACATAGAAGTCAAGCAATGGTAGCACATACCTTTAATCCTATCTTTTGGGAGGCAGGGATCTGTCTGGATCTCTGTGAGTTCAAGGTCACACTGGGAACAGCCAGGCATAGTAGCAACACCTTAAATTCCAACACTAGTTAACCATAAAGGTTTGGAGGTCTGTACAGACAGACAGGAAATGACAGAGCTAGGCAGGAAGAGGAAGTGATGTAGCTGGACAGAGAGAGCAAATGAGATGGCAGAACAGAAAGACTTATAGGCGTGGGTATACTGGAAATAAGGGGTCTCCTTGGAAGCTGAGGTGTTGGTGAAGTGAGATTGGCTTGTGGTTCTTCCTATCCTCTGATCTCTCAGGTTTTAACCCCGATATCTGGCTCCGGGTTTTTTATTTAATAAGACTATTTAACAATTCGTCTACACATCACCACTGGCTTCTGCAGAAATGGCCCCATGCTCTCACATGCCTTTTATATTTTGAATAAATCCTTGGTCTGTTGAGGCTTGGTGACCACTGAGGAACTGCCTCTGACTAACGCTGTTCATTCTGTTTCAGGAGCTGCCTGATTCGCTGAAGGAGCAGACACACCTCAAAGAATGGCACATTCACAGCACCCTGATTCAGATCATTCCTACATACATCGAGCTGTTTCAAGCAATGAGAATTCTGGATTTGCCGAAAAACCAAATCACGAGTCTTCCAGCTGAAATTGGTAGGTTCCTGGCAGGACTCTTCAGCCCCTGTGTGGTGAGCAGGCAGGTGTAGGGCAGGTGGCACAGTGCGAACACCCCATTTCCTCCTCCTCCTGCTCCTGGATGTCCTCAGCTACTTCCCTGTTCCCAGAGCCACGGTCAGTGTCCCCTTTGGGACACGAAATCTGCCTGCAAGACTTAGTAGTGATAGAAATTTCACAGTTGCTTAGAAACCTGAAGGCATGTGAGTGGGCAACACTTTAAGAACTTTCTGAGCCAGGAAGTCGTGGTACATACTTTTAATCCCAGCACTCAGGAGGCAGAGGAAGGTGGATCTCTGTGAGTTCAAGGCTAGCCTGGTCTATAAAGCGAGTTCCAGGACAGCTAGAGCTGTTACACAGAGAAACCCTGTCTCAAAAAACAAAAAACAAAAAACAAAAAAAAATTTATTTATTTATTTATTTATTTATTTATTTTTTTTGCTGGGTGTGGTGGTACACTCCTTTAATCCCAGCACTTGAGCTACAGAGTAAAGACACGCTAATAACAAGATTATTGTCAGGTTAGAATAAAATATATTGATAAGTTTAGCTTAGCTTCTGTTGTTTTGATTAATCCACATTTAATAATTCTTGGTCATTTCATTGTCTGGTTGCATCATCTTAAAATGAAGATGACAATGATTACCGATGTCTTTCTTTCTCTTGGGGTCTGAGGAACTAGCACGCATGTGTCCAACTTGTGGCCTCTGGGCTACACCAGGCCCAGAGAAGCTATGAATGTGGCCCAACACAGAATCAAAAACTTACTTAAAACACTATGAGATTTTGTTGCTTAATTTCAGTGCTTGACTCTTGAGCTTTGCAGATGACAATGCCGTGTCACAATGTCAAAAGTCTGACCATGCCTGGTACAGGCTGAATAGGGTTCCACGTTCACATGTCCTAGGACACTGGATGGGAACAGTTATTGGACAGTTTGTCAGAGTCCTTTTCTGGCCTGTTACTCCTAGTGTGGCAAGACTAGGTGCTCTGGTAAGATGGGTCAACAGGTAAAGGTGCTTGCCCCCAAGACTGGCAACTGGCTTCAGTCTGCAGTACCTGTTATGATATACTGCACAGTGGACTCTGAGGGTACCCTGCCTGTGCAGGGAAACATGTCGGCATCTGGGCAGATGCAGTGGTGGGCTGGCAGGTGACCCATGCCATGTGGGCATGGTGGCAGGACAGAGGTAGACAGTCATTTACAATCCAGACACTGCATCCACACGGAAATGGTTTATTATAAAAGAGAGATGAAGAGAAAGATAGTAAAGAGGAAGAGAAGAGAGAGGGAGAGGGAGGGAGAGAAAGAGAGGAAGGGGGGGTGTCAAGGGTGCACACCTTGTGGGAGGAAAGGCAGAAGAGAGAGAGGAAGGAAAGGGGTTTTTCCTTAAAATGAGCCTTTTACGTCAGGATGCCGGGTAGCTCCAAGGGGCAGATCAGAATACTGACACTGGTTTCCAAGGGTTGAGTCATCACACACCATCAGATCTGAGAAGGATAAATTTAAGAAGTGAGACAGCTTTCCAGCTACCTAGGCAGCAATCCCAAGTCTCTCCATGGTTGTTGGGGGGACAGAAGCCCCAACGGTAGCACTTGTTCAGCTGATAGGCCCAGGAGATCTGACAGATTTTTTTCTGTGGAGTAGAAATTTGGAGAGGTCATCCTACCTGTCTTGGCAGAGAGGACAACCGATCCCTGTTGCTCCTCTTATTTACAGTCTGGACAGGATCTCAGCTTTTCGCTGTGTGTCCAACCTTGCCATGAGTTTCCGGGTAGAAGTTCTGCGGCCATCTGTCTTCTTGGAGGAGATACAGGATGCTGCCAAGAGCTGACATGTCTCTCTGTCATCAAAAGCTTTTATATTAAATGCCATATTTTCAGATCTCTACAGGTGTTTGAGGACTGGGGGAACAAAATCTGTTAGATGTATAACCTAGACACTGCATCCATGTGGAAATGGTTTATTATACTATAGAGACAAGGAGACAGAAAGATAAGAAGGAGAGAGAGGAAAAGAAGAGAAGGAAAGCAGAGGTGTGCGTACCTCATGGCAGGGAAGAAAAAGAGTGGAAGAGAGAGAGCAAGGGGAGGGGTTTTTCCTTAAAATGAGGCTTTTATGTCAGGACGCAGGGCAGCGCCAAGGGGCAGGTCAGAATACTAACAGTACCCACTTGGTGGAAGGAGAGAACTGACTTCTGCAAGTTGTCCTCTGGCTTCCACATACCTGCTGGTCCTCCTGCCTCAGCCTCCTAAGTACTGAGATTGCCAGCAGGCACCGCCACACCTGAGTTAGGCACTGGTGTTTAAAAACTCCCTACAAAGACCGGAAGTAGTGGTGTACGCCTTTAAACCCTGCACTTGGGAGGCAGAGGCAGGCCTGGTCTACAGCCTGGTCTACAGAGTGAGTTCCAGGACAGCCAGGGCTACACAGAGAAACCCTGTCTTACAAAACCAAAACCAAACAAACACCCAATTCTCTACCAGACTCTCATGTGCAGGCAGCACTGGAGGGCTCTGACAAAGGAGTGCAGGAGGAGAAGAGAGCCCCAGTCCAGGGCAACTTGGGAGGCCCCTGTGTGAGTTGGGGCAATCACTCAGACAGCCTGTTTTCCTATTTCCTTATCTGTAGCATGGAGATCATCATGTCCTTGATTCACTTGGTTGTTATAAGGCTGGTAGATTGTATTGACTGTCTCACTTATAAAGTGGCAGGAGATGTGAGGATTGAGTGGCTTCTGCAGAAGTAAACTGTCAGTTTTGGTTTACTAATTTAAAATTAGCTTAAGAATGGTAAAGTATCCGATTCCTTAGGATGTGTGTGATGGGATTTTTCGAATATTATTATGTATTTATTATTGCACTAGTTTTTAGGTTGCAGCCGGTTGTATATATTGTCAAGCAAGAATCAGAACTAAGGAACTGGAAGATGACTCAGCAGCTAATGCTCACTGTTCTTGCAGGGGCCCCAGGCTCTTGCAGCACCCATGTGGCAGATCACAACTGCCTGTAACTCCAGTTCCAGCGGGGATATCTGTTGTTTTCTGACTACAGAGGATCCCTGTATGCCTGTGGTACACATACATATATATACAAGTAAAATAAATATTAAAAAAGAATCAGAGTCAGGGCTGGAGAGATGGCGCAGCAGTTAAGAGCACTGGCTGCTCTTCCAGAGGTCCTGGCTTCAATTCCCAGCACCCACATGGTGACTCACAACCATCTGTAACAGGATCTGATGCCCTCTTCTAGCATAAAGGCATATGTTCAGAAAGAGCTCTCGTGTACATAAAATAAATAAATACATCATAAAAAAAGAATCAGAGCTAGAATACAGTATTTTTCAGTCATTTCAATAATTTCCCCTTCTCCTGGATGTGTTCCCATCCTACTTGAGAAAGTCACTTATATACTCTTTGAGAAGCATGACATATCAAGTTGGAAGAATGCAGATATAAAAGATGAATGGTGTATTGCGCGTGGTCTGCAAACAGTTCCCTTCAGTCATTTATCATGCGTATAGAATGTTGTACGTATCTCTGTATCTAGCTCATGCCCTGTTAGAGCCCGCCAGCAAGCAGCACCAGTTAGTTTCTGCTATCCTCGGAGCTGCCCCAACCCTCACAGTCAGGTCCTATGATTCAGCTCCTCCAGGGGTTTGCGTACTGTGGACACCTGGATACAGAAGACGAATCCCCTGTACAGACTCTGTGGTGACTGGGTCACAAATATTTCTACAGCCTCTTGTAATGCCTGTTGGTGGTGCTGTTTGGGAGATGTGGAACCATTAGGAAGTGTGCCGGGGGAAGTATGTCAGTGGGGGTGGGCTTTGAAGGTTTGTAGCCTGTTCTACTTTCTCTGCTTCCTACGGTGGACGGACATGCCGTTAGTCAGCTTCCTGCTTCTGCTCCTGTGTCATGCCTTTTCTGCCATTATGGACTCTTCTTTTGGAACCAAAAACCAAGATAATTTTTTTCCTCTTTCAATTTTTAAACATTTTATTTTATTTTTTTATTTTTTTATTTTTTGGTTTTTCGAGACAGGGTTTCTCTGTGTAGCTTTGCGCCTTTCCTGGAACTCGCTTTGGAGACCAGACTGGCCTCGAACTCACAGAGATCCGCCTGCCTCTGCCTCCCGAGTGCTGGGATTAAAGGCGTGCGCCACCACTGCCCGGCAAACATTTTATTTTTGTATATTGGTGTTTTCCCTGTGTATGTAACGGTGCACCATGTGCATGAAGAGGCCAGAAGAGGGTGTTGGATCCCCTGGAAATGGAGTTACAGTTTGTTATTAGCTGCCCTGTGCATGCTGGGAGTTGAACCTAGGTCCTCTGGAAGAGCAGTCAGTGCTTTTCATTACTGAGCTGTCTCTGCAGCCCCGAACTATCTTCTCTCTCTCTCTCTCTCTCTCTCTCTCTCTCTCTCTCTCTCTCTCTCTCTCTCTCTCTCTCTCTCTCTGATTTGTTTATTGCTGGATGGCGGTGGTGCACACCTTTAATTCCAGCACTTGGGAGGCAGAGCCAGGCAGATTTCTGTGAGTTTGAGGCCAGCCTGGGCTACAGAGTGAGTTCTAGGACAGGCACCAAAAACTAAGCACAGAAACCCTGTCTCAAAAAAGAAAAAACAAGCCGGGCGGTGGTGGCGCACGCCTTTAATCCCAGCACTTGGGAGGCAGAGCCAGGCGGATCTCTGTGAGTTCGAGGCCAGCCTGGTCTCCAAAGCGAGTTCCAGGGGCGCAAAGCTACACAGAGAAACCCTGTCTCGAAAAACCAAAAAAAAAAAAAAAACCAAACCAAAACAAAAAAAGATTTATTTATTATGTATACAATGTTCTGTCTGCATGTGTCCCTGCAGGCCAGAAGAAGACACTAGATCTTATTACAGGTGGTTGTGAGCCACCATGTGGGTGCTGGAAATTGAACCCAAGTCCTCTGGAAGAGCAGTCAGTGCTCATAATCACTGAGCAGTTCCTGCAGCCCTGAACTATCTTCTTTAAGTTGCTTTCGGTCATGATTTTTATTAGAGCAACAGAAAAGTAGCTAATACACATGCTAACTATAGTGTGTATGAGGGAGAAAACAACTAGAGAATCGAAACCAACCAACAAAACCCACGAAACAGCATCAGCACCAAGAGTGAGATGCTCTAACTGAAGACTGACATGCATACAATGAACGGACATTTAATAGAGAATGCTCAAAATACAAACACAAAATTATATGTTATGTCTTCACACTTTCCCCCCCTTTTCTCCCTTTGAATTGCTTTTTGAGACAGGGCCCTTGATGTAGAAGTGTGTGACCTTTCTGCTTGTGTGTTTCAAGTGCTAGAATGCAGGCACTCACTGCCATTTCTGGGATCCCTGTCATTAGGTGAACAGTTCACCCCTGAGATTTTGTTTCTGTTCTGTTTGTTTTGTTTTGTTTTTGAGAAAGAGTCTCACTGTGTAGACCTGGCTGGCCTGGAACTCACAGAGATCTGTAGGCAGAAGTTTCTCCCCTACCTGCCTGTTCCCAAATACCCAACAGCTGCTTCCCAAATAATTGACCTGGAGGCTTAATCTTACTTATAAATGTTCAGCTGGTAGCTCAGGCTTATTATTAACTAGCTCTTATACTTAAATGAACCCATAATTCTTATCTATGTTTAGTCACATGGCTTGGTACCTTATCTTAGTAAGGCATTCTCATCTTGCTTCCTCTGCATCTGACTCCTGACTCTGCCCTTCCTCTTCCCAGAATTCTCCTAGTCTGGTTGCCCCATTTAAGCTTCCTGCCTGGCTACTGGCCAATCAGCATTTTATTAAACCAGTTGGAGTGACAAATCTTTACAGTGTACAAGAGCATTATCCCACAGCAGAGATCTGCCTTTCTCTGCCTTCTGAGCACTGAGATTAAAGGTCTGTGCACCATACCTAGCTTGTTTCTGTTCTTAAAAGGCTTTGAAGGACCTTCCCAATGGAGGTTGACCTTTTGTGTTACCAGGTCGCTTAAAGAACCTGAAAGAACTCAACGTGAGTTTCAACCATCTGAAGAGTATTCCCCCGGAGCTGGGAGACTGTGAGAATCTGGAGAAACTAGACTGCTCTGGGAACCTGGACCTGGTGGAGCTCCCCTTTGAAGTAAGACACACATCTCTGCTCTGTGACTTACTTTTTTTAACTTATGACATGGAGTGTTTTAGACCTCAAGAAAAATTTGCTAAAACCTCTAGGTTGTTTCTTCTCTCTCTTTTTAATTGCTAGGTTGTTCTCAGGCTTTACATGAAAATACAAGAGTTGCCAAACAAGTTTGAACTAGGACAAAATTAGGAAGCTTAGATTATGGAATTTCAAAACTTACTGTAAAATTATAGCATGTATTTACATACAGACAGACACATGGAAAAATAGGACAGAATTGAGATTTCAGAGATAAATCTCCATAATATATGCATATATTTACATATATATTATAATTTTATTGAGAGATAGTATTGCTATGTAGTCCTAGCTGGCCTGAAACTTGCTCTGTACTGGGTTGGCCCTGAACTCACACAGCTCTTCTGTCTCTGCCTCCTGAGTGCTGGGATAAAAGGTGTGTAACACCATGCCCAGTGATATTGTATTTACAATCAGCTGATTTTTCAACAAAATCACCATGGAAATTCAATAGAAAAAGGACAATCAATTCAGTAGAAGGTTTTGGGAAAATGAAAACCCTTGTCTAACTCCATACATATTAAGACATAAATGAAGAATTTGAAAAACACCCTAGATGAAAGAAACCAGATTTAAAAGAGTGTTACATGAAATTTCCAGGAAGAAAAATGTGTAGAGAGACAAAGTAGATTTGAGTTATGGTTCACTGTACATCCATGATGGGGATGTTTTGTGGCATGCAAACTTTACCTTGTTGAAATTTGGGGTATTAAAAGGATTTGCCCAAGTGCAAATGACTGACAGGACCTTGGACTGGGGTGTGAAGGGGTGATGAGCAGGATCAGATACAAAGTGTTCTCTGAAGGATTGTGTAAAGACTACATACAGGACACAGGGCTAAGACAGACAAAGATGACCTAACTTACCTCCACTCTGAACACCTCAGTGAAGCTGGACTTTCTGGACTGGGGGGATTAGAGCATGTACAGATCTGAGTAGGGGAGAGTGGGTCCTGACTGAGCATCATGGCCAAGCACATTCAAGGTGAGATGAGTGTTATCATCCACTATTACCAGACACTGTCCCTCATTTGCTGTGTAACAATCCTTTTCTATAATATAAATATGTATTACTCTCATTTGCTAATAAAAAACTGGCCAATAGCTGGGCAGGAAGAGATTAATCACAAGAGCCAGAATAGGAGAATTCTGGGAAGAGAAAGGGCAGAGCCAGCAAATGCAGAGAAGCAAGATGAGAATATTGTACTGACAAAAGGTACCAAGCCATGTGGCTAAACATAGATAAGAATTATGGGTTAATATAAGTGTAAGAGCTAGTTAGTAATAAGCCTGAGCTATAGACCGAGCATTTATAAATAATATAAACCTCTGTGTGGCAATTTGGGAAGTAGCTGTCAAGTATTTAGGAACAGGCATTTGGGACAGGAAACCTCCGATTACACCCATCCAGGCAGTGTGCCCAGCCGTGTGCAAGGAATAAGAGAGTCCCTTCTAGGATAATTGGTAGCCAGTGCTTTGTGAGAACTTTGCAAGTAGCAACTATCTCTAGCAGAATGCTGTGGTCAGTTTTTTCCATTCCACTTTATCAGACAATCATTTAAAACTACTTTTTCCATGAATATAGAATAAATTTAATGACTATTTGTAGCTTAAGTTTTCCTGCCTTGCCCCCAGTCAGGGCAAATCTCTCTCACCTGCCAGTCCCACAGCCACTCAGACCCGATCAAGTAAACACAGAGACTTATATTGCTTACAAACTGTATGGCCGTGGCAGGCTTCTTGCTAACTTTTCTTACAGCTTAAATTAATACATTTCCATTAATCTATACCTTGCCACGTGGCTCGTGGCTTACCGGCATCTTCACATGCTGTTTCTCATCGTGGCGGCTGGCAGTGTCTCTCTGACTCAGCCTTCCACTTCCCAGCTTTATTCTCCTCCTTGTCCCGCCTACACTTCCTGTCTAGCCAATGGCCAATCAGTGTTTTATTTATTGACTAATCAGCAACACATTTGCCATACAGAACATCCCACAGCAACTATTTCTAAAGTTCATACATCTCTGAAGTCCTGTCTGCAGGACTACCTCAGCCAGTTAGGACCACATGAAAAAAGATTTACCCCTTTATTTCCAGCTTCATCTCAGTGAACAAATAAATCGGGATATGCATTCTAGATAACAGATATCATCCATTAATAGGAATAAAGTGAAATGGAGATACTTTGTTTCATCTTCTTTTAATAGTATTTCTAGGACTAGGGCTGTTGCTTAGTTGGTAGAGTCCTTGTTCAGGATGTGCAAAGCCCTTGGGTAGGTTTGATCCCCAGAACTCCGTGAAAATTGGGTTTGGTGGCACAAGCCAGTAACCTCAGCACCTGGAGGTAGTGGCAGGAGGGTCAGGAAGTTCAAGGGTATCCTATAGCAAATTGGTGGCTCACCTGGGTCACATGAGACCCTGTCTCAAAACAAAACAAAACAAACAAATAAAAATATATGCACTATACAATTTTTATCCTTAGATTAAGGCCTTTGTCTAGCATATTAATATTTTCATAGACTTTATGATAACAGGTTCAAGGTGATTATGTCCAGAAAATATTATGAATTTCATCTTTTTAAAAAAATTATTTTTTTTATGTTGTTTTTATTTTCTTTTTCTGTGCATCTGATTGTTGGCACCCTGAGCCAAACTAATCAGAAGGCTTAGTTTGGATTACAGGCACGCAGCACATCTCTCTGATCATTCCCTGACAGGTGCTGCTTTCACATTCATTTTTCAGAATTCCAGACAAGAATATAATCAGAGTGTGTTCCTTCGGTAGAGTGTATTTGACAACACAAAGATGGGATTCATATTAAGCTAAATATGGGCATAAGCCCAATGCTTTTTCCTTCTGCTGATTGCCACCACCCCTTATTGGTCCAACTAGCCCTGTGTTTCTCACAATTTTTAAATGTCTTTAGGGTATTATTTGTTCTGGGTGTGTGCATACCTGTGTTGGTGCACGTGGAAGTCAGAGGACAGCTCTTGGGAGCTGGTTTTCTTTCCATAGTGTAGGTCCTGGGAATTGAACTCAGATCATCAGGCTTGGCTGCAAATGTTCTTACCCACTGAGCCATCTTGGTGGCATGAAAATGTGCTTGGAGAGACAGCTCTAATTTTACTCATGGACTCTCAAAATAAGTCAGTAAAAAAAGTTAACTTTTTTTATGTTTCATAGTAGCTGCCAAACTTTCATAACCAATTCCAGATATGAAATGTTTGTTCAACTTTATTCAAAATTCATAGATTTGCTTTGAAGTAAAATGTATCTCCTCATGTACTTGACTTGGCACGTTGCAAACAATAACTGTGGATATAAAACCACAGCAGAAGAACCCAATCCTGCTTAGCTACTGGGGCCAGACGAGATGAAGAGATCTTTATCATGTCATGTAAATGTGGGTTTCCTCAAGACTTGTCAAAACTTGTTAATGCAGTCCTTGCCACGCCATACTCTATAAAACTTGAACTTTCTACCTGGGCATAGTGACACACACCTTTAATCCTAGCAGAGGCAGGCTGATCTCCGTGAGTTTGGGGCCAGTCTGGTCTACATAATGAGTTCCAAGACAACCAGGGCTTTGTGGTGAGACCCTGTCTCAAAAAACAGATAAATAAACAAACAGAGCAAAACAAAACAACAACAAAAGACCTGAACTCTCTGTCTTCTGTGACTTTGCATGCACTGTTCCCCACCAGGGAGATCCAAGTCCAATTTTTTGTTCTCCATGAAATCTTTTCGGACCCCTGGCCATTACTCTCTCATACTGCTGGGTAAAATCACCCTTCATTTCCTGCAAGTTGAGACTTGTCGTATGTTCTTACTACATGAGTTGCTTTGTTTATTTATAAAGATAGCAGCTCCTCGAGGGCAGCTATAGCATACTGCAGCATCCCCAGCAGAAAGTACAGTGAATGATACACCATAGGTGCTCCAAAACACATAGTCGGTCTGTTTTTTTTCTTCTTAATCTATTTTTATTTTATGTGCATTGGTGTTTTGCCTGCATGTGTGTCTATGTGAGGGTGTCAGATCTTGGAGTTACAGACAGTTGTGAGCTGCCACGTGGGTGCTAGGAATCGAACCCAGGTCCTCTGGAAGAACAGTCAGTGCTTTTAACCACTGAGCCATCTCTCCAGTCCCTGGGTCTGGTTTTTTATTTTTATTTATTTTTTATTTATACATATATTCATGGATGCTTTGAGGAAGAAATATTATTCTAAATGCTATAAGTTGAACTTAATTCCCATTTCACAAGGCGTATTAGTTGCCTGTCTTGATGCCAGTATACAAGAGCTGACAAGAGCAGCTCCTGGAGTGAGGGGTTTATGTGGCTCACACTCCCAGGGGACTGTCCATCACGGCAGGGAAGTCATGACTGCAGGAGCTTGAGGTAGCCATTCACACTGCGTAGTCAAGAAGCTGAGAGTGATGCACGCTGGTGCTGAGCAGCCTAGGACCCCAGCCTGGGGAATGGTGCCACCCACAGTTAAGGTGGGTCTTCCAAACTGACTGAATCTACACAATCCCTCCCAGACTTGCCCAGAGACTTGTTTCCATGGTGATTCTCAATCCTGTCAAATTAACAATCAGGATTAGCTGTCACAGAGGGTAACTAGAATATCCTCTTATTCCTTTCTAGTTGAGTAATTTGAAGCAAGTGACGTTTGTCGATATCTCAGCAAACAAGTTCTCCAGTGTCCCGATCTGTGTCCTGCGGATGTGCCGTCTACAGTGGTTGGATATCAGCAGCAATAATCTGAGTGACCTGCCACAAGACATAGACAGGTAGCTACTTGCGTCCTAAGGTGAGGTAGATGAGCTAATTACTAACACATTAAGACTGTTAACACTTTAGATGTGCCACACACACAAATATTCTTTGAAACAACTAATTTTCCGGAGTTTGTCTCTAGGAAATGATAGAATAAGACAATTTCCGTTGTGCATCACACATACATGTATGTATGCATTTGAACACGTCTGATTCAGTTATTTATTTATTTATCTACTTATTTTTTATGTAATGACAGATTCTTTGTAGCCCTGGCTGTCCTTGAACCCACTATATAGACCAGGTTGACCTTGAACTCACAGAGATCTGCCTGCCTTTGTCTTCAAGTGCTGGGATTAAAAGTATCCAACACCAAAAATCCAAATTTTTATTACTTTTCATTTATTAATTTAAGGTATATAATCTTTAAACAGAATTGACATGTTAGTTATGTTGCTAAATTGTATCCATGAAGCTATTTCATTTTTAAAAACAATTACCGCCAGGCAGTGGTCACATGTACCTTTAATCCCAGCACTTGAGAGGTGGATCTCTGTGACTTCCAGGCCAGCCTGGTCAACAAAGCAGGTTCTAGGACAGCTAAAACTGTTACATAGAGAAACCCTGTCTCAAAAAAAAAAAAAAAAAAGTTATATAAAAACAATTACTGGGCTGGAGAGATGGCTCTGAGGTTAAGAGCACTGGCTGCTCTTCTAGAGGTCCTGAGTTTGAATCCCAGTACCCACATGGTGGTTCACAATCATTTATAATAAGATCTGGTGTCCTCTTCTGGTGGTCAGGAACACATGCAGACAGAACACTGTATACATAATAAATAAATAAATATTAAAAAAACAAAACAAAAAACCAATTACTATGGGCCAGGGAGATGGCTCAGTGGGGGAGTGTCTGCTGTGCCAGCACGAGGACCTAAGCTGGACCCCTCACAGTCCTGTAATAGTTTGTGTGGCTGCTCCCAGCTGTAACCCTGGTGCATGGGTGGGCAAAGACAGGTGGGTCCCTGGAGTTTGTGGCGGCCAGTCTAGTCAATTGGTAATCACCAGGTTCAGAGAGGGACCCTGCCTCAAAAGACAAGGTGGAGGGGCTGGTGAGATGGCCAGTGGTTAAGACTGAGTACTGCTCTCAGAGGACCAGAGTTCAGTTCCCAGAACCCACATCAGATGGCTCACAACCACCTGTTACTCCAGTTCCCGGGGATCTGACTCGACAGGCACTCGCACTCATGTGTACATACTCACACACAGATACACATAACTATACATAATTTAAAATAAAAAAAATTAAAAGATAAAGTGAAGGGTCTGGGGAGGTAGCTTCACTATTAGGAGCTCTTAATAGCCAGGTGTGGTGGCGCAGACATTTAGTCCCAGCCCTCAGGAGACAGGCAGGCAGATTTCTGTGAGTTCAAGACTAGTCTGATCTTCATTTAGAGTTCCAGGACAGCCAGGATTACATGAGACCTGGTTTCAAAACATGAACACAAAGCAGAAAAGAGCACGTAACTGCTCTTTCAGAAGCCCCGGTTCAGTTCCCAGCACCCACTCTGGAAGGTTCCCAACTGCCTGTAACTGCAGCTCCAGAGCATACAGCACTCCGACCTCTGTGGGCACCTGCACTCATGTACACAGAATTAAAGAATAGAAATAATTCTTAGAAAATAAGGTGGAGGGCAGCAGTGGAAGTGTTATTTATTTACCGGGGCGAGAAAACACGAGGTACAGCGGAACCCACTGTAAGAGTTTTTATTAGGGAAGGGAAGGGTGGAGGCGGGTAGGCCTACCGAAAAGAATGGTGCAGGGGGTAGAGCCTGCTTTTATAGGTCACCTCACACATGCGCATATGGGCTTATGTAGCTACATCACGCATGTGCATAGATTACGTGATCACTCTGTGTGCAGATTACATAGGACATAAGGCCCTGGATTGACTAAGTATTTTGCCTGACTGCTGGCAGTGGGTCATGTGACTCCAGAAGTGGCTAGGAATAATAACAGGAACACTCAGTGTTGACCTTTGACCTCCATATGCTTATGTGCACATGTGAATGTGCCCCTTCATGCATGTGTGTGCATACACAGAAATAAAAATAAAATTAATTTAAAATGTAACCAGTTCTTTAAAAAATAATTATTGCACTGAAACATGTAATGTGAGATAGATTGATTCAGTCATTCATGCCACTGATATTATTAGGCTTCTATACTGGGCCTGGAGAGTGGGCTGGGCTTAATGAATGGCATATAACTTGTGTACTCTTGGAGTCTACACCCTCCCCCGTCCCCACCAGACAGGGCTTCTGTGTAGACCTGGCTGTCCTAGAACTAGTTCTGTAGAGCAGGCTGGCTTTGAACTCACAGAGATCCTCCTACTTCCGCCTCCCAAATGCTGAGATTAAAGGTGTATGCCACCACTGCCTGGCAGAGTCTACACTCTTATTTACAGGGAAGTATAAAAAAACTGTTATGATTCACAGACCGACCTTGGCTTAGGCCTTAGTATGACATTTCTCAGGTGACATTTCTCCACTCTTGGTCCCTGTGATGAATGAATGCCTTCCTGGGCTAAGGAGACCAAATGGGACTTGTTTGTGTTTGAAATGACAGGACTTTTTGAGAGATTTGTGGCATTACGTAAGACTTTGTAAATAAATGAAAAAAATAATCTGGAGGGAGGGTCTAAATGCAGGAGACACTTAGAGGAGTCTGCTGATTTCTGAGGCCCAGTGGGCCGTGTTCTGTATTGTTGCCGAACATGTCTTCAGTGGGTGATTTAGTCAGTAAAGTAAAATCTTCACAGTTATAAGTTATATGCATAATTAAAAAAGTCATAACTCTATTTTTTTTCTTTTTTTTTTTTGGTTTTTCGAGACAGGGTTTCTCTGTGTAGCTTTGCGCCTTTCCTGGGACTCACTTGGTAGCCCAGGCTGGCCTCGAACTCACAGAGATCCTCCTGCCTCTGCCTCCCGAGTGCTGGGATTAAAGGTGCGCGCCACCACCGCCCGGCGATAACTATCTAAATGTGAAGAGAAAGCTTGTGGTTGCACACACGTTTTGGTGGGATGAGCCGAGCAGGCTTTCCCGGCTGGAGCACCGTAGTTCCCTGTAGTTCCCTGTGGAGCCTCTCCTGAGCCCTGGCTTCTCCTCCACAGGCTGGAAGAGCTGCAGGGCTTTCTCCTGTATAAAAACAAGCTGACCTACCTTCCTCAAGCCATGCTCAACCTCAAAAAGCTCACCTTGCTGGTTGTCAGTGGGGATCACCTGGTGGAGCTCCCGACTGCTCTCTGCGATGCCTCTACACCTTTAAAGTGAGTACATAGGAGGGGGAGGGGGAGGGCCCCCAGGACAGGCACCCTTGACGCCCCTGCTTAGGGGATCCTCATACACCTGAGAATCTGACCCGACTCCACTTTCTGCAGGAATTGGGAGGGGGTTGTTTGTTTTTCACATGCCCTGAGTAGTACACATCATTGAATTTCCGGAGCTACAAAAACCACTTGGCAATGGACAGCATGAGGTGGGGACCCTGCTTGGGCGCTCATCTGTCTGTCCTCAGCTGTCACATCCCTGCTGCCTTGGATAGGCCAGACACTCCTGTTCAAGGAGTCCTCTCTGCTTGCCTCATCTTTCTGGCCTCCCTCAGTGAACTCCAAAACAAAGACAACATCCATGGAAGGGGATCTGGGCTCCAGTCTGGGGTGAAGTCTTGCTCACTCCCAAGCAGATAGAAAGATGACGAGGCAGGAGACTGTGCCCTCAGGAACCTTTGCATACGTCTTCATTTATCATTATGAAGAGACCAAAACCAAAATGGTGTGTTGTAAGCAAGATAAAGGAAAAACGGGATTCTGATTGGCTGACTCGGGTCTTTTAATTTCTATTAGACAGGGACTCACGTGACTCAGCCACTATGGAGTTGAGGCTGACTTTGAACGTCTCATTCTCCTGCTTCCACCTTCTGAGAATTGGGATTGCAGGCGGGCACAGTTTATGTGGTGCTAGGGATGAAAACCGGGGCTTTGTGCTCACTGTGCCAACTGAGCTCCACCCCCGGGTTATTGATTAAAGAAAAATAATGATAGACTGCGTGTGGCTCAGTGCTGGAATGGAAAAAGGAAAGAATGAGCAGATAGGCCAATTAAAGAAAGCACTGCTTTGGAAAAAAAGTCTTCACACTCTTTAAATGTTGATAAAAAAGAAATCAGAGTGGCTATATATATATATATATATGTATATATGTGTGTATGTATATATATATATATATATATATATATATATATATATATTCTTTCTTCCTTCCTTCCTTCTTTCCTTTCCTTTTTTTTTTTGAGACAGGGCCTCTCTCCATAGCCCTGGCTGTCCTAGAACTCACCATGTAGACCAGGCTAGCCTCAAACTCTCAGAGATCCACCTCCTTCTGCCTCCTATATTCTTAATTTTTTAAAAAAAAGATGTATTTATTTTATTTTATGTGTATGAGTGTTTTGCTTGCCTGCATGCATGCATGTATACTACACCCTCATTGATCAGAAGAAGGCTTGGATCCCCTGTAACTGGAGTTACAGATGGTTTTGAGCCAGCTTGTAGGTGCTGGGAATCAAACCCTGGTCCTCTGGAAGAACAGCCAGTGCTTTTGACTGCTGAGCCATCTCTCCAGCACACTGAAGAGGAGTTTTGCAATTGAACATTCACAGTAAACACGAGCTGCTTCCCATACTTTCTCCAACAGATTTGTAAGCCTTATGGACAATCCTATAGATAAGACCCAGTGTCAAGACAGCGATGAAATAGTAGAAAGTGAACAGGACCGTCAGCATTTTGACAAAGAGTTTATGAAAGCATATATTGAAGATCTTAAAGAAAGAGGTGAGTTGGGAATATTTAAAACCATCCAAAATTATTATATAAACTGCACCTGCTCATGAAATACACACATCAATGTAAGTCAAATTGACAAAAAACATTATTTGTGACTATTTGTGAAGCAATAATGCATTATCTTAGAACATGAGTTTTTTTCCTCTCATTTTTCTTAGTTCTTTGGGAATTTCATATAATGTGTTTTGTTCATATTCACACACACACACACACACACACACACACACACACACACACACACACCTGTTTCACTCCTGGTCCACTCAGTTTCCCTACCCACTTTAGTTTTCCTCTCTCTGTTAGAAAACCACTCAGTTGTAGTTGTTGTTGCCCATACACTCCAGGCTGTGTGGCCCACTCTGCAGGGGCTGCACCCTGAGGAGAACCGACTCTCCCTTTCCCAGGAGCTCCTAGTCACCCCTTAGCCTGTGTCCAGGCGTGGGCCTGCGTGCCCGCCTCCTGTGTCCAGGCGTGGGCCTGTGTGCCCGCCTCCTGGGTCCAGGCTGGGATTGTGTCTGCCTTGATCTTGCACAGGTCTCCTGCATGAAACATGAGATTTTCCTAGAATATTTCATGCTTGCTACATGTATCAACTGTATGACAGAACACAGAGGCTGAGAAACACACAATTAAAATGTGGAGGTTGTAATACTAACTATGTAACCTTTAAATCACAAAAAAAATACTACTTTGTGTGTGTGTGTACCTGATGTGGGGGGCGGGGCTTGTGTGCTTAGGTGTGCATGTGGAGATCAGGAGACAGCCTTACGGAGTCCATTCTCTCCTGCCTCTGTGTGTTTCAGGAATCAAACTCAGACCACCTCATCTGCATATTGGAATACTTTTTTTTTTTTTTTTTTTTTTTTTTTTTTTGGTTTTTCGAGACAGGGTTTCTCTGTGTAGCTTTGCGCCTTTCCTGGAACTCGCTTTGGAGACCAGGCTGGCCTCGAACTCACAGAGATCCGCCTGGCTCTGCCTCCCGAGTGCTGGGATTAAAGGCGTGCGCCACCACCGCCCGGCTTTATTGGAATATTTTTATCCAATGAGCCATCCTGCCTCCTAGTAAATGATCTTTAAGTTAATTATGTTGACAAAATAGTATTCTATGATATTAATATGATAATAAGATTCCATTTCAAAAATTGATTTAAAAATCTGAAAACTTTTAGGTACTGGAGAGATGGCTCAGAGGTTAAGAGCACTGGCTACCCTTTCAGAGGTCTTGAGTTCAATTCTCAGCAACCACATGGTGGCTCATAGCCATCTATAGTGAGATCTGGTGCCCTCTTCTGGTGTGCAGGCATACATGTAGGCAGAACACTGTATACATAATAAATAAATCTTTAAAAAAATTTTTTTGAAAACGTCAACTCATCCAAACAAAATACCTGTATAAATATCACAATTAAAGGAGAACATAGTTGGCCAACCAGGGGATGGTTCACTTAGGTTTGTTTTTCCACAGAATGTTGGTATCCTGAGGAATGTAGGTGGATGGATAATTCAGGAAAGGCTGGGAAGGGTTTTGTTTCGTGGGTTCAAACTCAAGGTCTTGTGTATGATAGACAAGTTCTCTACCATTGTGCTCCACCCACAGTCCCCAACTTGACTACTTCTTATGGTTGGCATAGGCCATCTGTAGATGCAGCTTGGCTATAAAGGGACAGACTGGACCCTAAACACTTGGAGGAGCAAGGCTAAGTTTATTTAGCAAGAGCATGCTTGGTTTAGAAATATCCCTGATCCGGCTGGAGAGATGGCTCAGCAGTTAAGAGCACTGGCTGCTCTTCCAGAGGACCCAGGTTCAATTCCAGCACTCACATGGCAGCTCACAACTGTCTGTAACTTCAGTTCCAGGGGATCTGACACCTTCACACCAATGCACATAAAATAAATTTAAATAAATTATTTGAAAAAAAAAAAAAGAAAGAAATAGCCCCGGTCTCTTATAAACTGTATTGTTTCCCACCTGCTGTCTTCAGCCCCATGTCCTTTACCATCGATCTCATCAGCTTTTATTATTATATGGTCATACAGTTTCCAGAGCTTAGAGGGAGCTGTGTGAGATGGTTGGAAAGATTGTAAAAGAAAGAGAATGAGTATTAGCATCTTAGATCTAAATGCTTCTAAACTTGGCTACCCACTGGTGATGCCTCACACACTCCCTCTATACTTAAAATATGAAGCGTCAATACTTTGTGTATTGATGCAAGCCACTACATTATGATTATATTTCATAATAAGACTGAATTAATAAGGGGCTGGAGATATGGGTCAGGGGTTAAGAGCACTGGCTGCTCTTCTAGAGGACCCTGGTTTATTTCCCAGCACCCACACGGCAGCTCACAACTGACTTCACTGTAACTCCAGTCCCAGGGACTCAGACACTCGCTTCTGACCTCCAGGAACACAGGGTATGTACGTGGTGCACATACATACATACATACATGCTGACAAACACACACAAACACATAAAATAAATTGAATAATTAAAAGGAGTGAATAGCTAAGTATATATTTTTTCTTTATTGCAGAAGCTGTTCCCAGTTATACCACTAAAGTGTCGTTTAGCCTTCAACTTTGACTTGACCCACCAGAAGACCACAAAATCTTGCTGCCTTGTGCTCCACATCTTTGTATATGTGTTACATCTTATAGGAATTGTGGCTTGTGCTTAAGGACAAAGTCTAGAAACTACATCACTGTTAAGAAAATAATTTTCAAATTTCAAATATGGGAAGACTGATGAATTTGCTTATGTAATAATATTAATAGACTAATTGTTCTAAGGAATGCACATTTAATATTTTAGGAAATACATTGTTTAAAAAATGTAGCATATAGAACAAGTTTTGCAATTGGATGCATTATTTTCAGGACTCAAGGGCTAGAGGGTTGTAAATGAAAGAGAATTTATCACCTTGAAAATGTTTTAGTATACTGTTTATTTTTAATGAGAATAATGCTCCTTGAGCTTAAACGAGTTACTATTTCCACATTTTAAATTTATTTTGGCAAGTACATTTAAAATTGTATTTTAACTCTCAGGAGAGACTGAAGGTGTAATTTGGGTCTTGAGGGTGGAGAGAAGGGCTGGTGTGTGGAGTACATTGGGCACTGGATGCTCAAATGGCGTGGGCCTAGGGAGGTCTGAACGGTGTGCTTGGGGAGCATCCTGCCCTGACTGGTTACCTGGTAGAGCTGGGACATCACAACAAAAACCAGAGGCAATGCCCTCAAGGCTCCTTCCTGTAGGTGGCCCGGTGAGTGAGGAGTCCACACTGATGACCCCTAGAAGGGCTTCTATGGGAACCATAGGAGGGCTCTGCCCACTGGAGTGCAGCTGTGGGCGAGCAGGAGCCGCTGGGATGTAGTTTGCATTGGTGAAGGCAGGGCTCGCTTTTGGGCTCTGTGCTCTTGTATCACATTATACCCCTGGAAGAATTGTATAAAGCTTCTATTTTTATACCAGTGTCTTAGATTAAAACAGACAGGAGGTGGCTGGTTGTCTTGAAGACAGGAGGAAAAATGCACATGGATCACTTGTTTGTATGTGTGGACTCCTCCCTGGGGTAGTCCAGGGCGGCCGCTACAGCCTTTGCTTGCAGTGGGGGAAGCACTCTGTATCTGTGTCGTTAGACGCCATACTATCCAGGCACGGAACACTTGCTGTCTGATGACCCTGGAAAACTAAATTTTAAATGCAGTGTACTTCAATAGCCGCTGTGGCTACCATACTGTACGGCAAGGCCTAACCTGTTGGCTTGGGGTAGGAAGAGGTTATCTGTGATTTAAAAAAAAGGGGGGGGGATTTTTACTTTTTCTTACCTGAAGAACTGATTTGCTCTCAGAATCATATAATTTAAAAAGGTTACCACATACACAATTAATTAAAACAAAACTAAACTAAAAACCTAAAACAAAAGGTTAGTAGGGCTGGGAGATGACTCAGCTGTTGAAGTTGTTGCTGCCCAGCTCTAAGGACCAGCGGAAGGCTGATGAGAAACCCATGGCAATGTCAAGTGGGCATGGTGGCCCACCTGTAACTCCAGTCCTGGGAAATGGAAACAGGATGTGTTCAGAGCAAACTGGCTAGGTAGCCAAGCCCACCGGAAGCTTTTGTTTCGAATAGGAGACCCTGGCTCAGTAAATAAAGTGGAAAGATGATAGATGATTCAAACTCAGGCCTCTCCGTGTGCACGTGCATGCACACACAAAACACACACACACACACACCCTACACACATGCAAAACTATGTAACGCATACATAAACACTCACAGGAAACGGAAAGAAGACAGGTTAAAATCAGCGTCTTGATATTTTGCCTGTGTCAGTAGTTTGAATTAAGTCCAAACATTTTTATCCTTCATAGATATAAAACAGGTAGCATCCTCCAGTCATAGGGAGATGTCTCAGTAGAGGGTTCCTTCAACAAAAAGCAAACAGTGAGACGTGGGCTAAGAGGTGCAGAGTCGGAAGATGAGGACTACTTTAAACTTCATGCCTTTCTTCTCAACACTTAAAAATGTTTCAAGTTGATGAGTTGCCCTACTTGAATGACTTCAGAATTTTATTTCATACTCAAATACGTGTTTTATATCAAGATATGAAAATTGTATGTGAAAAGACGGAAGTGTAGAATTTTACACAAATAGACTGTTCATAATTTATGTAAGTTTTATTTAAATAAAGCCAGCCTTTTGTGTAAAATCCTTGTCCCGGGTGTGTGCGGGTTTGTGCGGAGCCCAGGTTGACACGGGGTACCTTCCTCACTTTATCACCGTGTCGTTGGTTATTGTTACTGCGGAGGCAGTGTGTCTCACTGAGCCTGTAGATTGTTCTTTTGGCTACACTGGCTGGCCAGTAACTCCCTCCCTGAAGCTGTCTGTCTCAGCTCCCCAGCGCTGGAGGGATGACAGGACTCCACACCCTGCTTTTCCCCGGTGCTGCCGAGCTGAACTCAGGTCCTTGCACTTTCTGAGGCATCTCCCAAACTCCCTAACTGAACTTGAAAAGGCATCTCTCTTCCCAGTATCTTTTCCCCATCACAGAGTAGCTGCACGCACCTCCATGGAGACCATTGTTTGAGAAGCCAGTTTACTGCTTCCATCTCACACCAGACCGACAGTGGAGGGCCTGAGCAAAACTTGCTGAGGAGATCACAGGTTCAAGACTTCCAAATGGTTCTGAGTCCTCAACACTTCAGACTCTGTTCCTTCATGATAGGTCAAAACCGTGTATTCTTTTAAATGCATTCAGGTGAGAGTCGTAAGAAAATTAACTGCTGAGCATCGTAGTTCATATCTGAGATTCAAGCAGTTGAGAGGCTGAGGCAGGAGGATTGATGGGACCGTGAGACTATATGATCAATCCACATGAGTCTATTAAATGGGTAACAGAATTTACTAAGAGATAAATTGAGGAAATACACTTACAAATACAGAATGGAGTAGATAGCTAAAGTTGTCTGATCTGGCCTGGAGCGAATCCACCTCGCAGGCAGGAGCAGGGAGAAGGGGCATGTGACCCTTTTCATGGCTCCTTGGGGCCCTATAGCCCAAGGTCATGGGCAGAGCAAATACCACCAGATTAGCCTAAATTACCTAGTGAGTTTCAGACCAACTTTGGCTGCATCACGAGATCTCAAACCTACCTTAACTCACCCCCATGGGAAAAAAAGTAAAGAAAAGAAAATTCGCCATCTTAAGATGAACAAATTCAGTCGCTTTTTTGTGCGCTGACGGAGTTGAGAGACTGTTGCCATCTCCTCAAATTCCCAAACATTTTCATCACCCTCTTCCTCACAAGACCCACATTGGTTAAACGGTGGCTTTATACTTTTCCCTTCCTCCAGTCCTGGTAGCCACCTCTGGATTCCACTACTAATTTTATTGACATTTCATATAAAGGGGTTACACAATGGGTGACTTTTTGGGGATGTTGTGATTTTTTTTCCCATTCAGCATTCTTTTTTCAAGACTCATATACCATATTTTATGCAAAGTGTCCCAATAATAGCAACAGTGAATAGGAAGACCCAAAACTGACACGGTTTACGTGACATGCAATTATAAAGGCCCCTGCAGCAGGCCCTGCCACACTCGCAGAAGCCCTCGCAGCAGGCCCCACAGCAAGATTCACAGCAAGATTCACTTAGTGGATGGATATGGCTGCTTCTCTCCACCTGGCAGGCGGTGTTTGCTGGTGGCCTCCAAGAATCGGGCACAACATAGGAGCGAGTGGGTGGGACAAATAAGGAGGAAGTGGGTGGGACAAATAAGGAGGAAGTGGGTGGGACAAATGAGGAAGTGGGTGGGACAAATGAGGAGGAAGTGGGTGGGACAAATGAGGAGGAAGTAGGTGGGACAAATGAGGAGGAAGTGGGTGGGACAAATGAGGAGTGAGTGGGTGGGACAAATGAGGAGGAAGTGGGTGGGACAAATGAGGAGGAAGTGGGTGGGACAAATGAGGAGGAAGTGGGTGGGACAAATGAGGAGGAAGTGGGTGGGACAAATGAGGAGCGAGTGGGTGGGACAAATGAGGAGGATGGGGGCAATGCCTTTGGGGTCTTGGACCTGGTCTTCTTTCCTGCATCTGCTGCTCTGCTGCTCTTGATGGGAGAAGGCATTTGAGTGACACGTGTTGGGGTAGGTGAGCTTACCCGTGACAGCTGTTGGGTTGTCAATATTGTAGTTGATGGGTGTGAGGTGTGGCTAACCTTGAGGGCAGCTTTGGTAGGGTTACTGGCTTTGGGGTCCACTTTTGATGCTTGGGGCTTTTCCACTTTAGAGGAGGTCAGTGAGCGGGGGTCGTTGCTGTAAATGGCCGTGACCTTAGGCTCCCTAGTTGTCTTAGACGGGGTGGGAGATAATGGGCGCGCTGGTGGTTTTGAGGCTAGGCCTAAGCCACTCTGAGCACAAAAGCCCTGCAGACATGCCTCACAGTTGTTGCTGTCATGTGGTCCTTCAAGACTGGTGTCTCCAAGCAAAGGAATCTCATCCATTTGCTTAAACCCTTCTCCATAGCACTTCTTCAGAATTCTGAAGAGCAGGTTGTTCAGGATCCTTGAGATGTTGTCCCAAGTGAACTCTGGAGCTGCAAACGGAGGCTCAGGGCACTTGTTACATCTCTGAGCGAAGACCCTCATCTTCACCTGGCCCTGGCCCTTCCTCTCACACCAGTGCATGTGGAAGATTGTCAGGACGCAGCCAGAGGCCCAGCTGCGAGAGCAGCAGGAACAGTGGAACCTGTGGAGAAGAGGCCAGAGTTCCAGCCGAGCTGTGGGCAGCGGCCAGAGGGCGAAAGGAGTTTCTCACAGCAGTGAGAGACGTGAACCAGCCCCTCCTTCTCATCTCCACCAGTGTCACCAACATGCCCTGTGACCAAATCAGATGCTTACTGTGCAAACAGCTCGTCACAGGCCATCTGACTCAGAAGGGGCCTAGGACATTTTCTAAGTCCGGTGTGTACATGGCAGAGGTAAGGTAAGGCACACAGCAGGACTTCATCACCCCCCAGGACTTGGGGCTCGAGAGGCAGGACGGGAGCTCTGGTATCTGAGCCCTAAGCCAGTGTTTCTTCAAACACTGGCGTAAATGTGTTCAAGGCTAAACCTGCAACAGCCCCGCCCCTCCCCAAGGACCCTGTGCTGAAATCAACAAGTGGATATAAGTGGGTGCTGGGTAAGTTGCCAACACAGATCAGGAGAGAGCTGCAGTCTCCTGCCTCAGAGACATCTTGCCTGCTTTTGTTACTCAGGCCCCATGATTTGTGGAATCCCCAGAGATGATGGCCTTCAGCTCTCTCTTCTTTTGTGGTTCCCTCCTCCAACTTATTCTTTTTCTTACACACTCCAGAGAATTTTACATTATTTCTGAGTGCTTGCCTCCAATAGGGTGCAGAATGACACCCCGTCTCAGCAGAGAGAGCAGTTTCTCGAAGATATTTGCACAAGTATCTGTTAGGAACAGTGACGAAAAAAACGGAGGCAGCCTGTGCTTCCTAGAACAGGAATTGTGCAAAGCCAGAAGATGCCAGTGTGGCAGAGACATTTATTGCTCATCAAATACCCCAGGAACTTGCTCTTGATTCAGTCAGGTTGGGGCCATAGCGGTTGAGCCTAACTTTGCTTGAGACGGGCATCTGCAGTCTGAGGTGGGGAGTTGGAGGAGCCTGGGCAGAGTGAGGTCTAGGTGCAGACACTTGGACTTTGTGCATGTTAAGTAAATGCACCTGGAGCTACAGCCCCAGGGCCCTCTTTTCTATGCTTTGATCTTAGCCTGCCCTCTAAGGGCAAATGTGGAAATGAACCGAGGGGAGGAGAGGCTGAGAAGCCAGCTCTGAGTCCCATAGAATGCATTGGCCGGAAAATCTCCCTCAGTTTTGCACTGAGCTGCCCTGAGCTGCCCTGAACTGCACTGAGCGGTCCTGAGCTGCACTGAGCGGTCCTGAGCTGCACTGAGCTGCCCTGAGCTGCCTTGAGCTGCACTGAGCGGTCCTGAGCTGCCATGAGCTGCACTGAGCGGTCCTGAGCTGCACTGAGCTGCCACCCACGTGGCCTGGTCTCATCACTCTAGCTCCACTGTGTGCCAAGCCAGAGTTCCAGCTTCTCAAATAAACAAACTACGGTTTTTCTTTCTCTGGAGCTTCCCAAGTTAGCTACTGCCTGGGAAAGGTCCAGTCCCCTCACAGAGGTCAGCTGGCATGTAGAGTCCCAGGACTCTACCATCCTATCTCCACTCCTAGGCCTTGGGGCACCCACTTTCCCTGGAAAAGAGAGGGTAAAATGTTGGGTGGTGTGGGACGTTTACCCACCACCCCCACAGTTCCCCAGAGTTTTCTTGAGTGCGAGCAGCAGAAAATATTAGAAGGATTTATTGCGGAGAATATCGCGGAGATAAACAGATAGAAAATAAAGGATAGCCTCGAGAGGGCCTGGAACCTTTTCCAACGGCCCCGACTGTCTCTGCCCCAGGGTTTTTATAGAGACGCCAAGGGGCGGAGCAAAAGACCTCCTCCCCCAGCACAGCCAAGTGCAGACCATCCCAGACACCTGCACTCAGGCCCGTGGTCTAATCATCCTCTATGCGGACATGCTGGGTAAAGCCATGAGGAACCCGAGAACGGGCTCCCACAGGGTGGCCTCTGAAAGTCCTATATAAGAAAGAATCTATGGGCTCATAGTAGAGAGGGACACAATCGCTGTGAGTTGCTTTGGGCCACGCACCTGCGGGCTGTCCCGAACTGTAACCCTGTCTCTCCCCAGGGGCTCCAGGAAGAGGGAGTCTTTCAAGGCAGGGAGCAAATGCAGAGCCCCTGGAGTAAATGAGCTCTCCCTCCCCCAACTCCCCTTCCTCACTGTCCCACTTCCCAGCCTGAATTCTTAGTGTCTAGGCCTGGCGCTGTTTTCAGTTCATGGTGGTGGGGCGGGGGTCCCCAGTCTCTACTGAAGCTGGAATTCCTTCCTGTGTTCCTCATTGTGCAAGCCTGGACAGAGGAGAAAAGTGAGAAACAAGCAAGGACCTCTGGCATGAGACCATTGTACCCCTCTCACCTGGCAAAGGCCTTTTGCTGGTATTGCATCCATCCTGGCTTCAGAACATCAGGAAGAAGGCCCTTGTCTTGTGTGAGGGTCCATTTGTGCCATGGTTTCACTTCTTGAATCAGCTCCTGGAAAACTTGTTGCCATAATTCTATGTCTTCTTCCATCATGGCTACAGTGCTGTGCCTAGGCTGGGGTAGGGCTTCCTGAGTGAGAGCAGGGTTCCTGAGTGAGAGCAGGGCTCCTGAGTGAGAGCAGGGGCTCCTGGGCTAGGTAGGGTCTCTTGGGCCTGGGCAGAGTTTCCTGGGTAGGGGTAGGGTCTCCTGGGCTGGGGTAGGGTCTCCTGGGTGTCCCAGGGTCTTCTGGGTGGGGGCAGAGTTTCCTGGGCCCGGACAGACCTGTGGCAGGAGGTAAGGTTGTCCACTTCAGAGAGTGAGGGCTTAGGCTGGCAATTCCGAAGGCTTGAATTGGAACTGTGGTTCAGCTCCCTCTGTCCCAGGGACAAAGGTCAGTTGAATCTGTTCCCAAGTTAAGAGGACAGCAGTTGACACCAAAAGAAATCACACAACTCTTTGATTTTCGTGTCTCAATATACTAGTTGGAGTCCAAATCAGGAAGGAGCTGCCTCTGGCACAGAACTCCCAGAACGGTGGAAACCACACTTGCCTTTGCCCGTTCTAACGTATGAAAATCTTTATCCATTGGGCCGCTGGACTCCTACTTGGGGCAAAATGGGCTCCCTGGGATTCCCACAGCCTGTGAAGTCCTTAGTCATATCTAGTTCCTCAGGAGGATGGTGAGCTGCAGACACCCAGCTGTCCCTGTCTACCAAGCATAGCCTGAGCAGAGGTCTCAGGCCCGATTCTCCACTTACCAGAAATCAAAGTTGGTACAGTGTGTGTGCCCAGGAGGTTAGGTGAAGTGTCCCTAGGTGGGTGGGAGGCTGCTGGCCCAAGACCAAGAGGGATCCATCGCCTTCCTCCACGAGAAGCTTCGCTATTGCCCCAGACTGAGGAAGGGAAGGAGAGCCAGGCAGAGGCCGGCAGCGTTGGAGCAGATAGCACTGAGAAGAGGCGGACAAGATTCCGAGTGTCTACACCAGAAGGCTCCATCCACACATAGGTGGGTCTTCCTACCACCCAGCTGGATGTTGACCTATCACCCTGGCTATTTCCCAGCCTGGAAGCTCCTCAGCCCAGAAGAAGGGAAGGAAGCAAGGGGAGGGGCTTCCTGTGACGTTTGGAAACCAAGCTGGGGTGGGGGTGGGGGTTCCCTCCACTGTCTCAGCCCAAGATCACAACAATCTCCCGTCCAGACGCTGATCGCAGATCACAGTGGGCCCATTCCTTCCCGCGCCCATTTAGTTTCTCAATGTTATTTGCTCAGTTATAAATTAACTACATTTGGGGAGGTGGTTCAGCTTCTTTTTTCTTTTTTCTTTTTCTTTCTTTTTGTCTTTTCTCCTTTCAACCTCTTTCAGTCTGTTGTGTCCACCGGCTGCTGGCTTACTCCAGCTTTCCATGAGTAGAACTTCTCTATTTGTAGTCAGTGGTGCCATGTTCTTCCCACGTTTGGGCTCTTTCGTAGGGCTTCACCTTGTAAGACAGACCCCAGGGCTGGTGCTGACGTGTTCCTGAGAGAAAGAAGGCCTCGGTGTTTCTAATATAGAAAATACAAGCGTTAGGGAGCTTTGTTCAGGTCCCAGTTACCCAGTGTTGTGGGCCGTGGGCTCAATGTTAAGAAGTCAGCAGCTGCATACAGAAATAGGGCAGCTTTAAACAAAGAGGGCACAGGGGCTCATGTTGATCACGTGACTGAAATGTGATTGCAAGAACCTAATGGCAGTCCCCTTAGGAACAATGACTTTGTATTCAAGACAACATTTGGGACCGCCCGCCGAGAGCAGTGAGAACACACTGTGCTCTCTTTGGTCCACCTCGTGGCTGGCCTTCTCTCTTGCGTTCTATAGGAGAGCTGAGTTGGGGGAGCTAAGTCTCTGCCTTCAGAAAGTTACTAACGCCTAGTACGATTAGCCAGCAATCCTACATCCTGCAGGGTTCCCAGGCCCTCTGTGTCTTCTAGTTCTGTCCCCCAAGATCAAAGTCCAAAGCCCCCCTCTCTCTCATCAACCGGTGTGGGTCTTCTCCAAGTGGGTTGAATTGTGACAGCCTGAATGAGGCGTCTATTTGTGGATGTGTGTGGAAATCCTGGTGTTTTCAGATGTGATAAAGGACCTGAGAAAAGACCTGCTTTGGAAGATTTAAAGTTTCTGTGACCACCAGGGTACAACACAGAAGCCAGGCAACCGGCCGAGCTGCTTGTCACTCAACCCGACCAAGAGAAGGATGGTAGGTGAGCCCACACAGGGCGTCCAGGGACAAGGGACAGCTAAGTGTAGCTGTAGGGCACAGCTTCGGTGTGACACTGGCGTGAGGGTCCCCAGGCTTGCATTAGCCTCTCCTGGGAAAACGAGGTCACCCCAGCTAGGGCAACAGTCGCAGACCAAAGCAACCCTATGGTGGTATTTTATTTGTGATTTTGAAATGTGATTTTAATTGTATGTTAATAAATAAAGTTGCCCGGGGGTCAGAGCTATTAGAGCCATAGCAAGAGCGTGGTGGTGGTGGTGGTGGTGGTGGTGGTGGTGGTGGTGGCGGCGGCGGCGGCGGCGGCGGCGGCGGCGGCGGCGGCGGCACACGCCTTTAATCCCAGCACTTGGTAGACAGAGCTAGGTAGATCTCTGTGTGTAAAAGGATACAGCCAGCATTGGAGACACACGCCTTTAATCTCAATCCCACCATAGAAGACCTGGAAGTCTCTACAGACAGGCAGTGACGAGGCAGTCATGTGTTTGGGTTTACAACCAATGAGAAGGCAGAATAGAAAGGTTATAAAGACAGAGACACAGGAAGTAGCTCCTTTTCGGAGAGCTCTCTTGGCTGAAGAGGATCCCTGAAGCAGGAAGGGTAAGGCTCTTAGTTCTGACCTCTTGGCTTTCTTCTCTGAATCGGCTCTGTGTTTCTTATTTAATAAAATGGTTGGTTACATCTACACAACCCTTTCACCCGAGCTGGTGAGCCGGGGGTCTATGGGGATTACTTAGGAACACGGGTGAGGGATTGCTGGACAGTCACTGCAAAGTCTGACCCCAGCGTGGGGGACAAGTTCCCCCTAGCTGTACAGATGGCACTCCCCCTTCGGTTCACTTTCCATCGCCTCTATACTGTGACACCTCCTGAGATCGTGTATAGTTGGGGTGGAATTATGTATGGCTGGGAGGGGATCCAGGAGGGAGAGGCTGGAATCTCAGTCGAGGGTCTAAGGACCTAGTATCCCTAGTATGAGGGAATGTCAGTCACAGTTACTCTGATTAATGGCAATGGATGTTACACTCGGAAATCGGGGTTTCTTTTTTTGTTGTTGTTGTTTTGTTTTGTTTTTTGAGACAAGGTTTCTCTGTGTAACAGTCCTGGCTGTCCTTGTAGTCACTCTGTAGACCAGGCTGGCCTTGAACTCACTGAGATCCACCTGCCTCTGCCTGCTGAGTGCTGGGATTAAAGGTGTGTGCCACCACTGCTCGGTGGAAATTGGGGTTTCTACAGCACTAGTCTGTTTAGGGTTCTCACGGATAGGCTCATTTGAATAAATTCGAGGGTTCTGGAGCATCAGGGCTATCCCTCAGCTGTCCTTAATTGTCTTGCATTGGGGCTTGAGGCTGTTGGGGCAGATAGACAGTGGTTCACAAGGTGATGAAGAACGGTTGGAGCATAGACATGACCAGCTGTTGAAGAAGGAACACTGGGCAGGCCCTCGGCTGGTCAAAGCTAGGTCAAAACACATTAAGCAAAATTGTATTACAAGATGATTCTGATGCCAGGTCAAAAGTCCAAGAGCAGGCATCTTTACAGTGGGGAGGCAGAGGGAGGCGTGGCGCTGATGCGTAGGCAGGCCATTTAGAGACAGAAACAGAGAGCAGAGCAAAGGAGTGCCTGGAACCTGAGGAAGTAAAGTGTCTCCCTAGGGCCTCTGGAGGGACAGAAGGACTGCAGACAGCTTGATCTTGAACTTCCGGCTTCCAGAACCGTAAGATTAAATTCTTATTGTCTTAAATCACCCAGTTTGTGGCCTAATTGTGGCAGGAGACAGGAGCGACAGATATGGGCTCTTGTATTCAGTTTTATACGGACACATTTGTATTTCACACTGTCAAGGAATCTGCACATATGCACGCAGATGGCTCAGCACGGACACCTGCCCAAGATTTGTTTGTTCTGAGTTAACCTTTGGCTTGGACTGTACTTCAAGAAGAATGCAGGGAGTACATGAACACCAGCTTCACAGAGAGACACAGTGATGAGGGAGATGTGTGGGGGCCACAGGGAGCTGAGGAGACCAGAGCCTCAGAGCTCAGAGCCAGGTGAGCCCTGAGCAGAGGATGAAGACGACACTGTAGAAACGATTTTGTTGCCATTGGCTGTCAACTCTGTTACCCGGAGATGAGGCCTCAAGCAGGAGCACTGTGGGACGTCTTTCTGAAGGCTGTGAATAGGTGTTGCTCTGACTGGTTGATAAATAAAGCTGTTTGGCCAATGGTGAGGCAGAATAAGGTTAGGTGGTACATTCCAATTGGAGAGAGAGGAAGAGGAAAGGAGACGCGGGAGAGGTGCTGCAATCCGCCGCCAGGAGAAGCAAGATGTGGAAGTACCAGTAAGCCATGAAGTCACGTGGCAACTTATAGATAAATAGAAATGGATTAAGTTATAAGAGCTAGCTAGCGAGAAGCTTGAGCCATAGGCCATCCAGTTTGTAAATAATATAAGCCTCTGTGTGTTTACTTGGGACTAAGCAGCTTTGGGACGTGAGTGGGAGAGATCTGTCCTGACCGCAGGCCGGGTGGGGCACAGGAAAACTTCTGACTACACAGCAGCACTCTTCCTCATACAGTGTTTTTTTAGCGCCTTCTACCAAGAAAGCTTAACAAGCTGTTTGCTGTAGGCTCATAACCAACCACCAGTCACTTCAATTCCAGAAGATCTGATCTCCAAGGACACCAGGAATGTATATGGTGCACAGATGTACATTGAGGCAAACACTCATACACATAAAAAGAAATCCTTAAAAATGTTTTTATTAGCATATGTTAATTATACACAATAATGTATTTCATCATGACATTTTCATAGATGAGGGGGTCACTGCCTCACTGTCTTTAGTTGTGGACCCTCTGCTGAGCCCACGAGGCTCCAGCAGATAACTCCAAATTCACAGTCACACAGATGGCCCTCGGTAGCGTTGGTGAGTCACAAAACAAAACAAAATAGTCATGAACTCGTGAGAAAGATTTGTGCGGTGGAGGGAAGGTGGACACTGGAGGTGAGAGTGGCCAATATGCAGTGTACATATGTGAAATTGCAAATAACAAGAATTTTAAAAGTCTTTATTAGCGTCTATGATTAAACATCATAATGGATATCATTTTGACATTTTCACATACGTCCATAATGCATTGCCACCATAGTCAACCCTTGCTTATCCTATCTTGATCTCTCCCTGCTCTTACTATTTGCTCCCTTTTCCCAGGGAGCGGTGGCTCCTCTATTTTCATCCCCACCTCCTGCACCTCCCCCACCCCCCGGGCTCCGTGTGTGTCCCTATGACTTTATTAGGTCTTTTGTAGCATGAATCTTAAAGGTACTTATTAATAAAATAAAACCTGAGGCCAGTTTGGGGTGAATGCTGGAAGATCAGAGAAGCAGAACAAGCCACAGCTACCTCACCTCGCCAGTTCCTCAGCTGATCCCGTTTCCTCAGACTGGAAGCCTCTGAGTCCTCATCCGGAATGAATCTCAACTGAACTGCTTCTCGAAAGCCTAAATGCTTAACCAACCTAGTTCCTGGTTTTCACGCCTTAAATACCTTTCTGCTTTCTGCCCTCACTTCCTGGGATTAAAGGCATGTGTCACCATGCCTGGCTGTTTCCAGTGTGGCCTTGAACTCACAGAGATCCAGACAGATCTCTGCCTCTGGAATGCTAGGATTAAAGGTGTGTGTGCCACCATTTTCTAGCCTCCGTATCTAGTGGCTGTTCTGTTCTCTGACCCCAGATAAGTTTATTAGGGTGCACGATATTTTGGGGAACACAATACC